TTGGAATCCAAGGAGCTTGACATTGGCGCAGAATTTGAAGGGAGTCATGTCTGAAGCGCTCTTGAGTCGCTTCGACATCATTTTCCTCATGCGCACGGAAGATGATCCAAATCAGGACACATATCCACGTTTTCTCGCGCAGAAATTGCTTGAGGAATCTCGCTGTGTATGCTATGGAACAGCAGAAATTCCGTAATTTTGTCTAATTTCCTGTATGATTTGTAGATCATTCGCCGCGATTTACACACGAAAAATTGGGGATTTTAACATTGCCATGTTGGATTACCAAGGGGGGTCGTTGTGAAGGACTCTGCGGTGTCTCGGCACATCATCAACCAACGCATGCACAACGCGCGCGGGGCTGAAGCACCACCGCCCGAAGATTGGTCCAACAGTGTGGATGCTGAATCTTGCAGAGAGACCTTGAGGAGTCGATTGACACAGGCCTCCAGGGCTCCGGAGCTGATGGAGCTGATTGATTTTCGTAAAACAAACTCCTGGTGATGATACCCTCTGGTAATTTAACATAACTATTGAAAATCACCATTTTTAATGGGAAAATCCACTATAAATGGTCATTTTCAATAGCTACGTTAAATTACCAGAGGGTATATGATGATATTCAATGTTTTTTTTCCTCGAAAAGACATTCTGAAGTGTTCTCCACTTTTCTTGCGCTTTTATTTTGATACAACAGTGTACAACACCCGCTCCTCACTTCCGGCTTCAAACGGTTGAAGAAGCACCAGGTAACCGGTGATCAAGGCCTACCTGCAGAGCTCCTCCAGACCTATCTGCGCTACGCCAAGCGCTATGCACAGCCCAGCCTCAGCGCAGATGCCAAGCAGAGGATCAAGGAGTGCTCACCGCTGGGAGAATCTGTGAAAGTTACAAGTTTTGAAACAGCCAAAAAGGACAGAATAAATGTCAAACATGGTCAAACTACTATTCAACATATATTATGATTATGACATATTATGTAGTGCGAGTACTATGGAAGCACCCAACATGTGATGAAACTAACAGAGCTTGTGTTGTGGGTGTAGCCAGGTCACCTGCTGCGAACCGATCCCGTGTTTTTTTTACATTCCAGAATGGCTAACAATGGCCAACATGCTGAATTTGCATGACGACAAGTCGAAGTGTCCCCACAGCCAAAAAAAGTAAGTCATTCTAAGGCAGATTGCTAGAAGAGAGGGAGCGAAGCCCTTGCTGGTGATTTCTGGAAGTTTTTATGCCACTTTCCGCTAAGTCTTTCTCAAGTGAGCTCATGGCTGTTGCGGTTGGGCCATGAAGGGGTCCGTGCCCGTGGGCACCAGTGTGTTTGGCCATGGGGTGGCGGTGGCGCTGGTTTTGTTGACCTTGGCATATTCATGGCATCTGTGTTTGATGCTGCTTTTAGCCTGGTGTGTGGTGACCCTTGGGGTGGCCGCCAACCTGGGCCAAACAGACATGACCAAGCTGTGCAACGCGCATTGGTTGCTGGTGGCGTCGCAGGTTTTCGCCTTAGGGAGCCTTATCACTGTCAATGCCTGGAGGACTGAAGTCACTCTATCACCAGAGCTCCAGCTTCTTCAAGCTGCTGCAACAACTCAGCATGTAATGCAACATGTCAGTGCTGGCCTGCTCCTTTTCAGCTCCAATGAGGAGCTAATGATTGCTAATTTGAGCAGCTTAGAAGCCCCACTGAAGGTTTCTCCGGGCCTCATGTCCGCACATTCCTTCGGAGAGTTTGAGGGCAGAATTGTCTTTGCAGCGAGGCAAGGCCAGAAGCAACAACTTTGGTACGTGGACAGCACCGAATGTTGCACATCTGAAGCTGTGATGCTGCATGACTTTGGGTCCAACATGGAAGTGGAGACCATCGTAGTACAAAACTCCACGCTGTTAATCCGAGCAGTTTCCAACAGCTGTAGCTCGGGACGGCAGGCTTTATTTGCCAGTGACTGGGTCAATACCTGGGAGGAGAGTTCATGTACACCCCAGCCCAGCCAAGATGCTTTGTTTGGGGAACTCTTCCTGGCAGCCTTGCCCACAACATTGCTGTCTTGCTGGTGCATTCGGAAACCGGCGCTCTTTGCATCGCTGTTTGTGGGGCTCTACAGCATGGTTGTGGTCATTCGACTCTTGGTAAATTCTGATCTGGTGGATGTTCATGACCTCATTTGCACCTCTTTGACTGTCTACAGCTCGTTGGCATATCTGGCTGGGATCTGCTGGCACTTGTTGAGACCATCTCTAAGTGGCAAGCTGATGCAGTTGAAGGATTGGTATTTTGCAGTCACCGCTCTATCCTTTTCAGCAGCCCTGCAATTGCGTTTGGACGTTCCTGACAGTCCAACTGCCTGGAGGTGGGTCATCTTCGGCGTTGCTGCTGTCATGCAGATGGGCATTGGACAGCTGGTACATCAGAGGTGGCCCAAAGTCATGGGTCTGGTTTGCCTTCAGCTGTGCTTGGGTAGGGTGGTTTTGGAGCCCCAACTGGATGTAGGAAGTGCAGCCAAACAGGCATTTCAGCTGAGTTTCCTGGGCTTGGCATGTGGCTCTCTTTGGGCTTTGCTGGGTGACTGGAGCTTGCATCCAGAAGAACAAGCCGAAAAGATCCATCCTGAGGCTGTGTCAGAGCAGACTGGCGAGCTTAAAGATCTTAAAGCAGACGGAGACGGTCAGGAACATCAGGCAGCCGCTGCAGATGTTGCAGCAAGTGCGAAGAAGTCGGAAGTGCAGCCCAATGCAAAGGTGGTACCAGACTACCAGAGAGCAGCTGGATGGCAGTTTTCAAGAGTTAGTTTGACTTTTATGCATCAATAAAGCATCAGGATGATGATTGATGACGGTTACATATTTTTCTCTTTGTCACAGTTTGTTTGGGGATGAGTTTGAGGGATGATCCAGAATTTCCAGAGAAAAGTTCGTTGTCGTTGGGGTTGGCCCAGGAAGCATACGCGAAGACCCAGCGCATCCAGCAGAAATTGCAAGGTCAGGAATCTTCGGCAGCCGATGTCATGCCTTTGGACGTCGAGTCTGATGTGAATTCAGAGGAGGAAGTTTGACCCCATCCGCCAGGAAAGGCGATTCCATGATCCTCCGGGTTCTGAACAAAAAACCTGAAACTCTACAATTTCAATTTTTATTTGATTCTGATGTTTTTGTTATCTTCGCTGCCTCATTCATTTTCTTTACACATCTAGATAGATACAGACATAACTTAACTATTGTAGATATAGATAGCCATGATCAACCCCAAGCCTGTTCAAAGGGCGAATGGCCCCTCAGAGGGTGCCCAGCAGCATGCAAGCTGCATGCTGGTGCACTACTGTAGATCTTTATTTTGCAGTTCTTCCAAGTTTGCATGTCTTCAATATTCTTCAATTGGATGTGGGTCAAAACCCTGTACCCCCAGTGAACCTCAAGGTTGATGGTCATCCCTTATACCACATGATTAGTAGGTTTTGACCCATACCCAATTAATTAGTAGATAATGTGTCTCACCACTTCAGCGCCACTTGCAAAAGCAACTGGATGCATCTAGATTAGGTCAAAAAAACGAAAAGTCTGCTTGATAGCTGCCGCTTCCAATCATCTCTATGGCTATAAGGAACCCTCATTCATGACATGAGATGTGAAACCATCATAAAACCCCTCAGTTAGGGGGGATGGTCTTTAGTCTTACAGCTCACATGTCTTTACCATGATTGGCCCAGCGTGTTTTCTCACCACTTTCCGAATTTAGGCTTCAGACTGGCTTCAGTGGGTTCACTTTCCCTACCCTCTGGTAAACTAACATAGCTATTGAAAATGGTCAATGATAGTGGATTTTCCCATTAAAAATGGTGATTTTCCATAGTTATATTAGTTTACCAGAGGGTATCTTTCCCTCCTGAGGAGTACTACCTGGAGCGCCGCGGCGCGCAAGGCGCCGTGCTGGTGACCCCCCGGCAGTTGGAGGCCCTGATCCGCCTCAGCGAGGCCCGGGCGCGCGCGGAGCTGCGACGGATGGTGACCAAGGCGGATGTGGAAGACGTCTTGGAACTCATCAAGAATGGCCTGAATTTTCAGGAATGGGATATGGATGATATATGATGATATGGATATGGAGCATGATATGGATATGGACTATTTATGACTATTTATGACTATTTGACTATTGATATGGACTATTGACTATTATTATGTTGAAGAATATGGAAGGTGATATGGGTGGAAACAGATGGAAGGATATGGATGGATATGGCGCATTATGGAATGTGATGTGGAATAATATGGAATAATATGGATATGGAACGATATATAGTTATGGGAATGAGAATGGGATGGGAACTGAGATGGCGGAGCTATTGGGAACTTGGATTCATGCGGTAAACCCAAGAATAAACCTACTATTTGGCTATTTGGGAATGATTTTTGCAACCCACTGTAGCTTATGGGGATGGTTAATGACAATGATGTGCGTTGCAACATCAACATCACTCAGCTGAAGCACGGCCAGGAGGAATTCCTGCAAGTCCCTGTGAGGAAGGGCAAATCAAAGTCGAACACCCTGGTCGACCGCTTGACGCAGTTTATGGATCGACGCATGCGTGCCACCGGGAGCCGGGAATTCCGAGAACAAGATCTGAAAGCCATGGCTGGAAACGTCGAGACCAAGGATTGGGACAAGGTGGACTTCACGCTGCTTCACGCCGCAACACATTGCGATGAGTATATCGAGGAAGTACTGCGATGCGAGATAACATCATGATAACAACTTATAATATACTATTACCATTGCTCTATGTTTATTTATGACGCCCTGGCTATATGTGGCATTTGTGTTGAAAGGATGTTTCTTGATGACAAGCTGCTGGTATTGCAGGCCATGAAGCTCTTGAATGAGCCGGGGACTCTTACACTTGCGGGGGCTGGCAAGTTTATGTACAATCCAGGGATGAGCTGAGAGTGGGCATGAAAGCATCAGATGGCATCAGATAGCATCAGAGCACAGGGCGCATAGTAATACCGTAGGTATGACAGAAAGATGGGGGAAGTGGATGTAAGATGATGTAAGTGGACAGTTTATGGGTGACCTAGAAACACAGCAGTCTGAAAAATGGACATGCCGCCTGAACTCAGCTCCGCTTTCACCAGAAGGATGTGTCTTTCCCGGCTGGGCGTGGGGGTGTCCGCCAAAACAGCAAGAGATTCCCTGGAAGAATCCAGGATGAAATAGTGCGCAGTTGCAGCCAGAACACCACGACTGTTGTGAAAAATCTTCTATTTGTGATGGCAGAATTACAAGCTGCATTCCTGAACTGCGAATGGCGCTTGCTTGTTGCCAGCTGCGTTTTGCACAAAGTCATGAAGATGAGCACAAGACGTCAAGTAACACCACCATGACTGCAGACCAGTAGACATCTCACAGCACACAGTCCACAGATCTGACAATACGCTTACTCAGTCAGCACATCAACAATTTCCAAAAACCACCCATGAAGATGAAACTGCCAGTTTCTCAGCCAGTGTTTTTTAAAGATGTCCCTTTACGATTTCTAGTGGAAAGTGGTCTAAAGTCATGCTGCTAGCGGGGGTTTTACGGTCCTCTGGAAATCTCTTTGGCTTCTGCTTCGCAGCTTCGCAGCTTCGCCGCCATGCACCGGGACGACTCCTTGTCGGAGATGATGGCTGGCGAGCCCCAAACTCAGGGGTTGGACAGTTGGACAATTGGACCAATGTAAACTGAACATTGGGAAAACCTGTGGTTGAAAAACAGTTACTCCCCCTCCTTTTACCGTAGCGCAAAAAAAAGACAAAAAATCTTTATTCCACGTCAACTAAAGTGACAATTCGGAGGTTTACTTCCATGTTAGTTGCAATGGGAGGGGCAAACTGCAAATTTGTGTTCTTTGGATCTGAGCCCTTTTTTTTGGGGGGGCTAGTTCTTTTTGCCACGAGTTCCCCGGGAATCCTGGGCATTTGTTGATTAACGTAGAAATTTTGTTTTTTTCAAGATAAAGCTGGGAATGCCTCCATTTTTTAACAACCAACGATTGGAACGGATAACTTACATAGAAATTTGCTACTTGAAGTAGGATGTGGGCAGTGCCATGTTAGCGAGCGCTCGGTCCTCCTTTTACCGTAGTGCAAAAAAAATATCTTCCACGTTAACTAAAGTGACAATTCGGAGGTTTACTTCCATGTTAGTTGCAATGGGGGGGGGTAAACTGCAAATTTGTGTTCTTTGGATCTGAGCCCTTTTTTTTGGCTAGTTCTTTTTGCCACGAGTTCCCCGGGAATCCTGGGCATTTGTTGATCAACGTAGAAATTTTGATTTTTTCAAGATAAAGCTGGGAATGCCTCCATTTTTTAACAACCAAAGATTGGAACGGATAACTTGCATAGAAATTTGCTACTTGAAGTAGGATGTGGGAAGTGCCATGTTAGCGAGCACCAATTTGGCACCATTGATTTCGAAAGGTTGCATCCTCAATCGCTCGGACATGACAGGGGTGAGAAGATAGATGCAAAGAAGAAAAAAATGATGTGGCGGTCAGTCTGGGGGTTTCAGGGATCGCCCTAGAAGGATGTATTCAACATGAGGGGAGAACATGTTAACATAGAAGTTGCCAACCTGATGTCTGGACCCTCAAGTTACTTCCATGTAAGGGTTTTTAGTCTCAGTTTTCACACTTCCATGATGAATATGTTACTGACATATCTGATGAGCTACTTCCATGTAAGAGATTCACGGTCAGTTTTTCTGCATTGGCTGGCCCGGTAGCCCAGTTTCACTTTTTCCCCAGGAATTGGACGTAAACGACTTCCATGTAAACCGACAGGTTTTTCCATCCTGACTTCCACGGTAAAAGGATCCGGTGTAGCATATCCATCATATCCCCATGTTGGTGATAAAACAACAGTTTTTTTTCCCCTCCCCGGGGCCCCGGGATTATAAGATTTTATGCCACTTCGGATCCCTGAGGCGTGGGCGTGGCCTCGCAGATCTGAAAGGCTGGGATGGCTGAAATTTTCGATGTTTGAGTGGTACCAAACGCTACCAAAGTATATGGAAAGGTCATGGAAAAGGCACTATTTTCAAGGTAATCTAAGTTGATGTTATAAAGTAGTAGGGAAATCTAGTCTGGGCCACAAGCTGGAGTAGTGGCTCTCACTAGATTCACTAGATTCACTAGATCATCTGTTGATGTTTGGACGATGCATCAGGTTCACAACCTCCTCATTGAGCAAAAAACTCCTTCCGGACCTCACAACTTTGGATCATCCACACTTCTCAGCTAGAAACCATCAAGTCTAGACTCAAGCCAGATCTGAAGATATCTTGAGACACCATGAGATGTTTATTCCGACATATCTAGGTTCAGCGTGCTAGGTTGGGATCCCTTAGATCGCCGGATCGAAGTGGAAAAGAAGGAGAAGTACGGCCAGGCGCTCCGCGATCAGATGGCCATGAACAGCGCCCGAGGCTCCCCCAGCCACACCAGCCGCACTGGGGAGACCGCCACATCGCCCCTGCCACCCTCCAGGCCCAGTAGCTGTACCCGGGCTGGGGAGGTGATCGCCTCACCAAGCTCCATGATGCATGGCTCGGTGGTGACCGATAGCTCACCTGCCAGCAAGGTGGCGCAAGTGCAGGAACTGATGCGGCAGAGACTTCAGGCGGTACAGGAGGAACAGCAACGGCAATGGCAGGAGGTGCAGCACGCACTCAACAGCCAGTTGCATGCGGCGAGGGAGGCGGCAGAGGAAGCTGTGCGTCTTCAATTTGGGGAGCTGATTTCGGGGCAGGGTGCCGAACTGCAAGCCATGCGAAAAGCTTTGAGTGACATCATGGCGGCCCAAAAGCACACTGAGGAGCAGTCAGGTCGGCATGTGGATGCCTTGGCTGGTGAACTGGCAGATGCCAGGATGGCGGTGCAGAGATTAGAAGCTGAGTCTGGTGCTTGGCAGAGTCAACTGCAGGGCCTTAGAGGTATGGTGGATGAGCTGGCACGAGCCAGACAGGAACATTCAGCACAGCAGGATGCTGCGCAACGGGATTTGGCAGATGCCAGGAGCGCTATGCAACGGCTGCAGCTGCAAAGTGATGATTTCCTGAATCGAATGCAAAGCCAAGCGCAAGAGATGGAAAGGCTAAGAATCGAGAAACAGGATTGCGCATCTGCTCATGCTGAGTGCGCTCGCGACAGAGCTTCATTGGCACAAAGACTTCAGGAGGTTGAGAACGGTTTGAACGATGCTCGGCACCAGCCGAGAGCTCAGGAGTCATAGCTGGCTTGGGAATTGCATGTGTAAGGGGGTTCCCCTCACGATTCCAAGAGGAGCACCTTTGCTGATTTCATTCGGGGATATTGGTCAAACCCAGAAAACTGTAGATTTTGGTAATGTTTAATGCATGTGTAGCAGGAAGTTTTGGGTACCCAGTTCTGATGCTCATCTGGCCCCAGTGACACCCTGTTGTGCAGCCCAGGTTAAGAGAGCACGGCATTGAAATTGATCGCTTGAAGGTGGGGGGAGCCTTTGGCACTCATGGAAGGATGGTAGGTTGACATGGAGCAATGCAGAAATTTCAGGGCAGATGGTGCAGATCCAGGTTGTAGTCCCTGCCCTCCTCTAGTGTATTGCCTGCTCAGTTGATCCTGAACATTAGAGTGGTGGATTCGCTCCCCACATTGGCCAAACTCTTCCAATTCAGGTGGCGCATCAAGAATGTGTCAGTGCCTGAGACTTGTCGCATGTTGTTGCCACTGCCACACGGACATCAAGGAGTCCTGTGCCCAAAGCATCCTGCACAGCCAATAGGCTTGCCACTTGAATTGCAACCGGAGCTGTCTCATCATTAGTAAAACACTGTAAGAAACTAATACGTTAACATACTACTACAACTAATATAGCACAACTTAACCCCACAGTTTTGTCAGCTTCATGACAATTGACTTCATGTCTAACTTTGGCCCAAGTGATGGAACCTTTGGCCTCCATGGGCTGTGAGATCCGTGATATCCCACGATGGGTTGTGGAGCCTCTCAGCGGGCAGAAGAGGTGCACCGCAGCACGCAGATTCGCCGCAGCAGCGGATCCAGCCGCGCCAGCGGCAGCAGTGCCTTCCAGCTGCGGCTCCGCTCGACGCGCTCGACGGACCGCTCGACGGACCGCTCGACAGACCGGGTGCCCAGAGGTCGACATGTGCTGCTGGTGCGACCACATGCCTTGAGGGAGAATTCCAACGCCTTCTGTTTCGAGTGTGGCACTTTTTGCAACCTGGATAGGGCGTTAACTTCGGCAAGTGCCGTTTGCCCGGAATGTGGAGGTGATTTTGTCCAGTTCCTCTGGCGGGTGCAGGAGTCGAACTGGATCTCAGCAGATGATCCAGGTGCGCGAGACTTTGCGTTTGATGATCAGTTGGAAGATTCCATTTCGGTCTCCTTGGCTGAGACCCCTGTGCCCAAGAAACCCACCAAAAAGAGCTTTCTACAGAGCTTGCAGCCCCTACACCTGGACCAGAGCGAGGTAGATGCACGAAGTCGGTCTCGGCACAGCGGAGATTGTTCGGATCCGAAGTCGAACTGTTCCTGGGTGGTGCAGATTTTGCAGATTAATTGCTTGTCATCATGAGTAGTTTTTGATTTAAATGTTTAAACATTTTCAAGTGTGTTTGGATCTGAAGTGGTCACATTTAGTCTGCCGTTTCTTCCAATGCCCATCGCACACTTTGATCAGCTGCGTTGCTTCCGAGCTCAGGTTCCATTTGCAGAGACGCCTTTACAGTGGGCGATGAGCTACATGAACTGCCTTGCCATCACGAATTTCATGCCAGCTGCATCCGGCTATGGCTGCAGGGCAGCAACACCTGCCCGATTTGCAGGTTGCAACTGCCAGAAGCAGATGCGGAAGATGAGCAGCTCGAGTCCAAGGTGCTCGTGGGGGAGGAGGACAAAGAAAGTGACAAGGACAGCAGAATACGGCAGACCTGCTGGATGACTTTTGACATGATCATGATGTACGGTAGTGTACCGTATGCCCAGGGAATTTTATCAGCTCATACTCGGGCAATTGGGCTTCGATGGTACCATTTTAAAAGGGAGGCTGGGGAAAGCCACGTAAGTCTGTTGCAATAAGAGCGCCTCATAGACCACATTTGTGCTGCAGAGTGTGCGTAATGTGTACATCATGTGTGAGGGTTTCGCTCATGTGAGCTCTCAAAGTTCCATTTCATTTCATGGCTTAGTTTAGTAGGAGAAAGATGGGGAAAGGAGGGTTGTCTGGCATTTGCCCACTGCCAACCCCAAAGGAGCCCGACAAGGAGCGAACTTTGCCATTGGAGCCAAGAGAGGAGCTTCCAGTGGAGGAAGATGGCAACTGGACGTGGACAAAGAAGCGCCCCAGAATGGGGAATAGAAGTGTGGTGACATTCAAACTTGGGGTTATAGATGTTACCAGTATCCTTAATTACGTTTCATTTCAATTTTATCGTCAGTTCCCCTTAGCTGGTGATGCTGGTGAAACTCGAATGGAACCTCAGCCTCACTAATATATAATTTAACATCATCATATAACTTCAATATGCTGTATTATGGCTTGACATACCCACCACACATTGCTATACAACTTCCACATCCTTTTCCCCATATATTATATCTCTATTTCAATAATTAATCAAGAAAACTATTCAATCATTGATATCCTGATGCTTCCTTCAATACATAGTATCCTCCAGTTCCTGGCAGATAGCTGCAGGCACCTTGGGCGATGGCTCCGGCGAAGTGCCAGAGGAAGCGCTTGAGGAAATGGACGTGGCTTGGCGTCTTCCTGGTGCCCTGGGAGAAGTTGAAGGGGCCGAAGAAGCACAGAGTGAAGGACAGGGCGAAAGACGGTGAATTTTTGGTCCGGAAAACAGGACATCGCTGAGATCACCCACAACTTTGAATCATTTTGCAGTCATAATGGACCTGTAACTTAGAAGGGGGGGGTGTTTCCCATTGCCAAATGGGAAGTTTGAACACCACCTGGATCGGTGCACCGTGGATGTTCATGAAGATTAAGAAACCTCCCGTCAATTCATGTTGAAGTGGAAACACTTCAATACCCCTGAAGGATCTCAATCGTCTCATCCAGTTTTAAGAGGTGAAGCAAACCCTTCAGTCAGTCTGACCGAGCCAGTTCAAACTGTTAGATGTACTTAACTTATCCGCAACCGCTTGCGGGTATTCGGGATCTTTGAAGAACATGGAAAAAAGACAAAAAAACAAAGAATCAGCCGCCCGCTGAGTTTGTTGTGATTTGTCACTCTTTCAATTCTCAATTGCACCATGTTGCACCATGCACCTGTTCGCATCACAGCTGCAAGGCCATTTTATGCTGTGTTATGCGTTGTTGTTTGACTTCATGCATCGGCAGCTCATATAAGAGTGGTGGGAGCTGGAGTTAAAAACACATTGTATAGTTTGTGCCATCCATTTGATAGAATTGGGGGTGTTCTATCGTTGGGTTTCTGCGGTACACGTTGGTGCCTTATTTCTGCCAAACCCTTGGCTCAGTGGCGGCGCTTGAGCCGCGTGTCGTCGACGCACGGTTTTGGATGTGAAAATCGACCCAACATGGACATCGTGGTGGTGGCTACTTTCCAGGACTAAGCAGAGAGTCTTGGGAAACGATGGGAAGGTCATTGAGCAGAAATCTTATTGTAGCGTTTGTTGGTACGACCGTATGGACTTGCATTTTATGCGCACGCTACCATAATGTTAAGGCATGTGTCACCACAGGACAGAATTGATTAGCTTGAAACTCTTCCCGCACAACTTGTGTATATATGATACGCTCTGTCTCTCTAGGATATGTGTTCGAATGTTTTCGAATACATGTTTGGTCAGCTGCTCCCAGCTGATCAGAAGATATTTGTTGGAACGAGCATATTTTTCTTGGTTCCATCCACCATTTATACCCCTATAACACCCCATTTCTGAGCTATTAAATCATTATTAATCATTATTAATCATTCTTATTATTCTGAATGTTCATGATTCTGTATATGTTATGATTACTTCATGATTATCTGATTATCACCGGCCCAGTTTTTCGGCCCATGGTTATCCCATGGCGCCAATTCCACCGGCTCCAGGACTTTGATGAAACGCTGGAGAAGCGCAGTCGAGGTCCCGGCTGCGACCGGAAGCAGAGCACCCAGGCCATGTTGCGACACCTCGCCCGGCAGGTGCAGGACGGCCATGGGGCCGGTGGTGTTTATCCGATGAAAAGACGGAAACCAAGAAAATCCCTAGGACTAAATAAATGGAGGGCCATCTATTTAGGGCATTTTTTTAAAGTTTAGTTTTATTTTTTGATTCCCCTCTCCTTTCTACTGTGCCGCTTCTCTGCTTTTCTGCTTTTCTGATTTTTTGCTTCTACGCTTCTCTGTTGTTTTTGTTTCTTTGCTTTTCTGTTTTTTTTTCTTTTCTGCTTTTTTGCTTCTCTGCTTTTCTGCTTCTCTTCTTTTCTGATTTTTTGCTTCTACGCTTCTCTGTTGTTTTTGCTTCTCTGCTTTTCTGTCTTTTTTGTTCTTCTGCTTTTTTTGCTTCTCTGTATTCTTGCTTTTCTGTTTTTTGCTTCTACGCTTCTTTGTTTGCTTCTCTGCTTTTTTTGCTTGAACTTCTCTGTCTCTGCTTTTTTGCTTCTACGTTTTTTTTTTTTCTCTGTTTTTCGTTCTATGCCTTGCATTTGTTCTGCTTTCGTTGCTTTTTGTTTTTCTACTTGCTTCTTTGTTGTTCTGTTTGATTTCAAGTTCAGCTACAACTATAACTGCATGAAGAACAGCACCAGCAGCACAAACAACAAGAGCAGCAAATACAAAAGGCGCAACGAGAAGAACAAACGCAACAAAAGAAACAAGAACAACGAGAACAACAAGAACAACAAGAACAACAAGAACAACAAGAACAGCAAAAGAAAGAAGAACAACTACAACGGCAAAGGGGGAACACAACCGAAGTTGTCCCCGTGTTCCTTGGGGAGGAGACGCTGCGCCCCCCCCATGCCCCCCTCCAGCTGTTTTTATTTTGCTGTTGCGTGCTTTCGTTTTTGCCCATTTGGGTTTCTTTGCGTTGGAGTAAAGACCATGATACAAATGAGCTGGCTAACAAGTTAAGGTTTCACAATGCTTCAATTATGAACCAAAAAGAAAGTCGTCATGCAAAATGGAAGGTTGAAGTTCAAACATGCTGCAAATATCATTTGCTAAATCCTGCAAATACCATGCAACATGAAAGGGTCTCTCTTCCATATGGCAAATACCACACAAATTCTGGTGTTTGATGGTGTTTGCTTCTCTGTTTTTTTGGCCTTGATAGTTTCGCACATTTTCATTCTTCTTGGTTTTGCAAAGCTCTACGGGCTTCTTGGCTTCACCAACAGCAACCACAACAGCAACAGTAACAACAAAAGAAACAATAGCAAAAAACTATTATTACAACAACAACTGTAACTAATTACAACTTCAAAAACTACAGCAGCTGCAACAACTACAGCTGCAACAAAAATAACAAAACAAATCAAAACACACAAGAACCCACAACTGCATAACAGACAACAACCAACAACCAACAACAACTTGTAAATAGCATGCCAAATGGAAGATTTCAGTTCCAAAATGTTGCAAGTTTGCAAAATGGAAGGTTCCAGCTCCCAAATGCTATAAACCAAAATGCTGGAAATGGCTTGCAAAATCTAAGGTTCCAGCTCCCAAATGCTGCAAATGGCGTGCAAAATGGAAGGTTCCAGCTCCCAAATGCTGCAAATGGCTGGCAAAAGGGAAGGTTCCAGCTCCGAAATGTTGCAAATTGCTTGCAAAATCTAAGGTTCCAGCTCCCAAATGCTGCAAACAGCATAGAAAATGGGCACAGCCAGAAATAGAAAAAACCTTACACTCAAAAAAAATAATTTCCCTAAACAATTTCCTACCCCTTTTAAATTCTCAATCAATTTCCTGATTTATTAGGACTTGATCAATTCTGAGCATCGGAAACACATGGCTTTCGGGGGGAATGAATCGTGTCTAAACATATCTTTGGAGCTTGCAGCCCAAGCAGATGTTCATGGGCCAGGAGTATGTCCGGAAGGTGGACCTCTTGGTCTTGGATTGGAAGTCGCCACCGAAACAAGGACCCAAAGAGGTGACCGTCTCCCTGGGCCGAAACGAGCCAGCGAAGGTGGCCATTTGGGGATCCCGGGAGCAGTTGCTGACCAAGTTCCCAGCCTCTGTTTGGGACGTCTCTGGGTATTGATTCAGCTTTTGTGGATGGACTTTTTGGGAATTGTGCCCGGTGGAGGCGATGAAGATTTTGAAGAAGATGACAATGACTATGAACATTTTTTTCCGACAATAGAGCTTTGGAAACAAAAACAAATCCATCATCATTAATCACCATTAATCACTATCAATCACCATTAAGAGAGGGGTTGTCTTTTTCCAAGGGCAAAACCTCCCAGGTTTGCATTTGCTCGGGCACACTTCGCTTCATCTTGGATTTCGCCGCCCAGCTCAAGGCTGGGCGCAAGCACCATTTTGGCAGATTTTGCTTGGAAGAGCCGAGGGTCATACTGCACAAACAAAACCTACATACTATGTTATGAATGTTATGTAATGTTATGTTTACACAGAAATAACGCGCACACACACATATTTTTCTTATACTTATACAATCTTATACACATATAAATATAAATATAACTAAATATATCTATATATATATATACATATGACATATACATACAAATATCATACGCACACACACACACACATATATATATACACATACATATACACACATATAAATATATGTAGAGTAAATATACATAACCTCATGCAATGTGCTTGTCACATGCCTCGTCAGGTGAAGAAGAGGGCTTGCATGGTCCATGACTACAACTTGCCGTTCGGGCCTTGGGGTCAAGAGCAGACCATGGAGCAGATCAAAGAGCACTCGAGTCTCTGCAGCAGCTTTGAGCTGTTGTGTGCCTCCAAGCACCTCACAGACTTTGTGGAGAAGTGGGGTGAAGGCAGTTGCGTGGCAGCCACAGGTTGGTAGCCACCGAAAGAGCTTACAATGTATTATATACAATCACATAGCACCTGATAAACATCACGTTACATTATTACATGTGGATACGTAGAAGTGCTGAATCTCCGCAGAACTTTAACTTTGATCCGCCAGTTTGCCTTGAGATTTTTGAATCTGTATGCAGGCACCTTCCGCTCGCGTTGCTGCTATGCAGCAGACTACGCCTATTTTGATCCCATCCCAGAAGCGTATCAGCCATGGGAAGGGAAGCATTCCCACGTGACCTTTTTCAGCCCAAGCCCTGAAAAGGGTTTGAGCATTTTCCTGAGAATAGCAGAGAGCCTGCCAGACGTACAGTTCCTGGCAGTGAAGACTGTGGCGTGGACAAAGCCTTGGCATGAACAGATCTTGAAGAGGCTGAAAAATGTGAAGATCCAATCCGCCGGCGACAAGATTGAGGACATTCTTAGCATCACAAAGGTTGCTGGGCTCCGCTTGGGATGGTCCGGAACCTTTACAAGCATGATGGATCAATATGGATCAAATGGGTTCTTAAGATGGAATTGTCCTATGTATTCTTATGTTGGTTTGTGCTCAGAGGATGTTTTAGAGTATTTTAGAGGTTGGAGTGTGCGGTGCCATTTTGACTCCAGCTCCAGGCGAGCCAATCCACCTTGGAAACCTTAGAAGTTGGAGCACACGCAAACCTAAGAAACATCATGACACAACGGTTTTCCATGTTTTTTTTTCCATGTTTTTTGATGGTTTTGGCATGTTTTGGCACTTCCATGTTGAAACTGCCAGGTTTTGTTGGCTCCTTCGGTCTACCCAGAGGCCTTCGGTTTGGTGGTGGCAGAGGCCCAACTGCGCGGCATCCCGGTGGTGTCCACCGCCATCTGCGGCCTGGTCGAGGCGAATCAGGTGCCGCAGACGCAGGTGCCGGAGATTCCCATCGTTTTTGACCCCAGATCCTGGACGTTTCGACAGGTACAGGGATGGGTGAAAACTATAGTGAAAACTATCGGGAAAACTAGTGAAAACTATAGTGAAAACTATGAAGATCTTGAAATGTTTTGAATATATTTCTCATTCTTCAGGCCATCCGACTTTGTATCCATTTGGGAGGTCCCCAACTTTGGCTCAGAATGAGCCAGGCAGGTGAGCAGAAAAGTGGCACGTTTTTATGTGCATAACTTGATCTTTGATCTTTGACGCTGGTGACATCTGGTGAATTTTTCGGGCTTCCCAAATCATCACAGGGTGCCAGACCTCCTTTCCCCATTCCATCCCATCCCTTTTTGCCCCGAGGAACGCACGAGTTGGTCATGGGGATGACGTTGGATGAAGCGGAAAACTCCCTGGCACTGGATCGGCCCGGTGGACTCAGTATGGAGCAATGGCGACAGACAGCCATCACACAGGAGCTGGTGGAGCGGATGGAGAACCCCATGGTTCTCCATGGTTCTCCCTGGTTCTCCATTCGGGTTGGACTTGCTTTGACAAGAAATGACAAGAAATGACAAATAGAAACCACTGACACACCTGGAATCTTAGTGGCGAAAGTGATGATTATGATGATCCACATATGATCCACCGGATTTTTTTGGGCATCGTATTTTGGGGGGATGGTTCAATGGTTGGAAAATTGGAGAGCCAGGAGAACTATCAGAAGGTGGCAGAGGAGAGCGAAGTAACGAAGATCCTGGAGCTTTTGCAGAGTTTGTTGGGCTCAGAGCTCCAACAGGCTTCCCAAGATGCGCGGATTGCTGCCAGTAGCTTTGTTGACAAAAGGAAAGGTCAGTTACTTGGCGGTCGTTGTTTTCCAAAAAATGTTACTGGATGCTTTGGCAACCCAGTTCCTCTTGTTGGTTAAGCAAGCCACAGCTGTGCATCGCAATGTCGTATAAAAAACCATTGAGGGGAGACTGCTTCCAACGTGCTTCCAGGTTCATGGCAACCATCAAAAAACTCTTGGATGAGCACGTTTCCTCCGGGGATGCCAAGCCTGCTGCCATCACCAACGGCAGCAGCGGTCAAAAATTTGCGCCCAAGCCCAGAGGGTTCACGGCAATGGAGGATGACAATGGCTTTGATGTGAACCAAGATTTCACCCAGGCCTGGCATAGAGTGCTGGCAGAAAGGGGTGGAATTCTATTTAAGACCCACCCCAGAACCTCTTCAAGTTTGACATTTATGTCTATTGAGTCTAATGTTCTCCACATTTCTCACATGTCAGTCACATGTTAGTCACATCATGTTAGTCCCAAAGAACCTCGTGTGTAATATATTGTAATCATTTGGCAATCATGTTGCACCCGGAAGAGTTCACAAAATGACCCAGATGATCTCTGGGTCAGGGCCCCGGAAATTTCGCAGGTTCCTGATTTTGACGGCATGACAGTGGCAGCCAAGTGTTTGGTGCGCCTCTGTGAGCAGGGCAACTTGACCGTTGCTGCAGAGCTGATCCAGGCGGGCAGGTGATCGGACGGATCCCAGATCTGAAGTATCGGATAGCAATCCTTGAAACCATTTGAAACCTTTTCACCAACAAGCGGTCAACTGCACTGAGGTTGGCTCATGCTTCAGGCAGCCATGTTGCCAGTTGCATCCGAGGCCAAGGCGGATCTCAACATGCCAGAGCCAGATCTTGGAGTTACACCGCTGATCGCTGCGGCCAATGCTGGACACTTAGATGTTTGCAAATATTTGATGCTTGGCCAGCACTGGAGATTCATGGGGATTCATGGGGATTCATGGAGATTCATGGAGATTCATGGATACTCAGAATGGAGATTTCACCAACCATTTATAACCAACCCGTAACCCATTTGTGGCTTTATCATGGTCTATCAATCACGGGATGATATGGCGATCCAGCAACTGATCCGGTCATGATTTCGTGTCAAACATGACCACCGTTGAATAATGACAGGCCACGCATTACCCAAAATTTTTATGGTTTGATGTCCACAAACCACCACCCATGGCTCGGTGGAACCCCACATTTCAAGGTAAGACTCATGATGCTGTAAGTTTTCCCTTACCCAAAGCATTTTGCCGCGGACCTTTTTCTTTTTGTTTTTGGCAAACCAGATTTTCTGCACAGGCAACTTTTTGATTCCTATGGGTGATCTTCTCGCTTTTTTACAGGCAACTTCCCAGTTTCGGCGTCTAAAACCACAATTTCTCTAGGTATCCTTTGGCGAATTAAATATAGTTGACACCTTCATATTTGTAAAGTATCCTCTAAACCAATGATCAACCAACAGTCAAAAAAACATGATGTTGGATGTTGATTGTTGTTTATCATATTGTTGGATGTTGGATGTTGACATCCTCTAAACCATGATAAACATTGATAAACAGCGATCAACATCCAACATCTCATGCACAGAACGCCGAGGATCCGCAAGAACGCCGAGATTAGCGCAGAGGTGCACGACGGCACCCGGCGCACCGCACTGCATGCAGCGGCATTGATGGGTTATGCCTCGGTGGTGCAGCTGCTTGGTGGTTGGATGTGCTGATGTCAATGTGGTAAACCAGGGTAAACCTTACAATAAACTCACGGTGGCTGTGGCTTTTCCACTCTGATTACTTGGGATGATCGTGATGGCATTTTGGGTTCTGGTTGGGGCATTTCCTTTAACTCTGGACGCCAAGAAAAACGTATAATATGTGATATATATGTGTATATATATATATACAGTATATGTATGTGCGTGTTTTTTTTTGACTCCCTTTTTCAAGCAAGGCATCTCATGGTTGTGGTTGATTTACAAATTTGCACCGCCAAAATTTATTATGGGATCTATGGGACGTTACATCTGTGGGGCGTGAGATCTAGAGATTTGGCCAGCAATGAGTTGTAGCCTTCATCAAATCAAAATGACCATGGCCCTTCACCAACCCCTCAAGTTGCTCAGAATATCTTAGATCCCTTTTTTTTTTAAATAAAGAGTATCCCTTTAAAATTCCAGATGCAAAAGCAGCAAGTTTTTCTTGGCCTAAGCTGGTTACCTATGATACCTATGGAATGCCACAAGAATTGCCATTTCGCCGAGGCTGCTGTTGGATAAAGGCGCCAACCCGCGGGTGGAGGACTTGACCAAGACCCAGCCGCTCCATTTGGCGGTGAAGAATGGCCACGCCGGGGCGGCGGAGCTGCTTCTGAAAGGTCGGCAGAGGGACGAGTGAGTTTAGGGAGGGATGGGAGGTTTACAGTCACTGAATGTTGGAGACATATGGAAAATATAGAAACATATGGAAAAATATGGCATGATGCTCACATATCAGCCAAACTCTCGATCAGTCATGATATCCAAAGGTTCACCCTTTTTTTCCTGGAAATTGAAAACCTTGGACCTTTTTCGCCAGGTAAAGCGAACCCCAACAGCGCGGATGAGCAGGGACACGTGGCCATCAACGACGCGGTCGCAAAGGATCGCTTTGACCTGGTCACAAAGCTCTTGGAGTATGGTGCTTTGGTGCCATGGCTCCGTATGCACGTAGATGCCAAAGAGGTACGGTGCACAGCGTATTCTTAATGTGAGTAGAAATATAACTATAGAATAAGATAGAGAGTTAGATGGATAGATAGACAGATAGATGGGTAGGTAGATAGATAGACACATAGATAGATGGGTAGGTAGATAGATAGACAGACAGATAGATAGATAGATAGATATATATATAGAGAGAGAGAGATAGATACTGTGGATGGATGGATGGATGGATGGATGGATGGATGGATTGATCTTATCCTATCCATATTATACAGATAAACAAACATTCATACATTATAATATATATATATATAAATGTGTGTGCGCATAGACATGTGCACATCAGTATCATACGATGTGCATGTGGATGCAGGTATCTCAAGGAATTTCAAAACATGTTGGAGTCGCCTGATCCATGCTGCCTTGAACGGGCCACTGCAGGTCAACGTGCGGAATATGGCAGGGCTTGAGGCGATCTCATTCTCGCGGACTCCGCAGATGCAGTCGATTGTCATGAAACATGACGTCAACTTTTGAAGCACGGAGCAGAAGCCTCGCGGCCAAATCTGGTCATGCCTCAAGGAAGAAAAGGCCAAGTCCCACGTGCGTGGCATCAGGGGAGCAATACCGGAATCGTGTTTGAGCTTAATATCAGTAATATCCTTACCTTGAAGTATGGTGGCATCTGCATTTGTACACCATCAGAGGCTTCAACTTTTGGACTGTTTTTGTGATACTTTCATAGTACTGTAAGTGTGTTATACCCAGACACGCGCAGGGCGTAAATTCAGCCGCTTTTTGAGGCCTCTGCACGGATGGAGATGCAACGACAGCCAGGACCTTAGCAGGTTTCGGCAGAGGTTTGGGTAATAAACGCCTGATGGGTAGTTTTTTTTTTCTGTTGAGATTGGGATTTCAGTCCACATCAATCCGACTAATTTAATGTGGTACTGGAAAGTCCAAATCCCTATATGATCTATATGCTCATCCTTTTCTTATGTAAAACTGTGTATATAACAATATTTTTGAGGATGGGATCTTCCATTTCTATTTTTGTTGCAGGATCAAGCTGATCAGCACCTTTTGGCACTTCTCAAATGGAGAGAAGACAGTGAGAGAAATTCATCATTTTTGAAGAGGAACATCAGCCACAAAATAGATCAAATAAAAAACAGCATGTTTTTTTTTTCCGATAAATTTTAAGTGCAATGTTTTTTCTCCTCCCCTTCTGACTCGAATCGAAGGTGACTAGCTGCCTTCTCGGGCTCTTTTAAGTGCCGAGATCCAGCATCCAACAATTCGGGGGATTTCACCAACCCCCACAGGAGGTGAACCATAACTGATAGCTGGTCAATAAGCCTTTGTAAAGCGTTGTTGCGGTCGGAATCCCCAGGACGCCATGATAACTGATAGCCAAGGTTTCAACAGCTGCGTGACGTTTGCCTCTCAGATATGTGCAATGGACGAAATTGCCTGAGCAGCTTTGTTTTCTGCACTTGATCTTGTATGCCGACATCCTTTTGATGCTGACATTTTATGCGATACGTAGATTCCCCTTGTCCATCATTGTTCTAAGTCTCAGGATCAAGGACGCCTGGGGAGCCAAATTTCTGAGGTGCTCAACGGCAGTTGGCTTTGGATGCTGGAGATGTTGCACATATTCTTGTTTCGTCGACAACTACCCCGTTTTCATCCCAAAGTTTACCATCTTCCCCATGCAAATTGCAATTTATAAGGCATTTTTGCCCTCTGAACATTGCTGTTTGAGGCATTTTCCATCATTTTCCTCATTAGAGTTGCGGGGTATCATCCATGCTGCAGGTGCAGGGGGCAGTTTCCAGGCTACGTCATGAAGTGCCACAGCTGGCAGAGGACTGGAAGTGGAGAGCAACACCGGGCACATTCCAAGGGAGAAGGATATTAAAAGAGGTACAAGAAGGACTGATTCGCTAGTGGTTTCTAGATATTCTTTTGTTATCTTTGGGTTGAAATCCTGATCTGGGATGACGATGCTGATGATGCTGCTGCTGTTGGTGATGGCGGTGGTGCTGGTGCCTGCAATGCCGTACTGTTTCAGGGCTTTGAAAGCACCAAGCGGAAGACAGACAAGATTCATGTTTCAGGATGATCAGAAAATCATCTGATATGGATTTTCACTTTGACTATCCAGTCCATACTATTAATTTATTGACAGGATTCAATTCGTCTTTCTGACCATCCAGCTCTCACTTTCTCTCTCTCTCGCTGGACAGAGCCCGCTACGATGGAGATCATGGAAATCACTATCCATACTAGATATGATATGTAGTACTATATATGAATAGATAGGATAGTACGGATTATGTAGTATAATATATGAACATCCATACTATCACGGAAATCACTATCCATACTACATATGATGGAATTTCTTGGAAATGAATGGATATTCATCTAAGTCTAAAGGAATGATCACCAGGATATGTAAACATTGTAAACCACTGCTCCTTGCTAGGCCGCTGCGCGTCGCCTCGTCGACGGCCTTCCACGGCCTGTGACACCACCTGTTAGGCTTGAAACAGTTGCAGTGCTCCCACTGGCATCATCTGGGAAACACAATGGAGCCCAATAGTAAACCTACCATTTGGTTTTTTTTTATAGATTATAGCACCCATTTACGGTGATTTTTGGGGATAGTTTATTGTTGGGTTTACAACACTACTAAACAACATCAAATATCAGATGAAATGGGACACCCTCCAACAGTTCATGACGATTTTTCATCTGGTAAAATCATATTTGATGACATATGATTTGGTGAAATGAATGTTGATACCCTCTGGTAAACTAACATAACTATGGAAAATCACAATTTTTTTTTAATGGGTAAACCGGTAAACCAACTCTAAATCACCATTTTCAATAGCTAAATTACCAGAGGGTAAGTCCCATTTTTCAAAGGTCCATATTTGGGACCCCCCTCCCAACTCATCAGACACACCATGGCTGCAGTGCTCCGCCTCCTCCTCCACCGGATCCCATGCCGGACGTCAGTGAGAACGTTGTGGCCTCACTGGGAACACAGGGGATTTTGATCATTGTGATGTCACTTTAGGGTGGACTTAATTTTGGGTTGATTTTTTTGGGTGGCTCATTTTGGACTCAAATCCATGTGAGGCCAGGTAGTTGATTGACAGATGATTTTTTTTTCGATCTTCCATAGTTTTCTCTGCTGCCACTTTTGCAGCCTTTGCCCCCGAGCGAACGTGCTGGGCCGGCTGGCAAACCCTCTGAGAAGCCCCGGCAACTGACCTCATAATATGATCGAAATTGACATTAGACATCGTTAGACCAGATATATATATATATATTATACAGAAGGTCCATTAAGAGCACACGAAACTGTGGCCGTCGTCCCAAATCCAGACTGCATCATTTTCCAGTGGGTGAATCCCTGAGGCCTACGCGGTGCTTCGCGGTGCAGAGGGTGAATTGTTTGAGCTTCCAGGCTCCAGGGGTCCCTGACTTCGGTGAATGGCCACAAGCCTGTTCTCGATGCCAGGTTTGGAGAATGTGATCGGTCGCAGTACAGTTCAGAACCCAGCGTGGAAGGTGAGCCCCATGCAGTTGAAGTACACATGGAACATCATGGAGCCAACTGGAAAACGGCGCCAAGGCTTGTGACACGTGCATTCCAGGCTCACAGGTGCTGAGCCTCAGGAGAAGGGTTTCCTTCACAAAGTCGGGGCAAATTTCTGGCCTGTCCTTACCCAAAGTACAAAGTCCATTGGGTTGCTTGACTTGATAATCGCAATATCCATTGCTTTGGCGACTAAAAAATGATTGAAACCAGGATATTTTATGAGGTGTCCCTGCTAAAATCATGAAATTCATGGAAAACCGTGGGTTTGCCATTGAACATGATTGTTCCGAAATTTCATACGCAGAAACATGTATTCACCCCGCTTCGCGTGGGGTGGCCGCCCACACCGCAGGTTTATTTCGGCCCGTGAGAGGGGCTAAGGGTGGTTTTCCCCCGTGGGGGCTCCCCAAGCTAAGAATTTTAATGGGGGCTCCCCAAGCTAGGGAATTTTCACTTTTCCCCCCCGTGGGGGCTCCCCAAGCTAGGGAATTTTCACTTTTCCCCCCCGTGGGGGCTCCCCAAGCTAGGGAATTTTCACTTTTCCCCCCCGTGGGGGCTCCCCAAGCTAGGGAATTTTCACTTTTCCCCCCCGTGGGGGCTCCCCAAGCTAGGGAATTTTCACTTTTCCCCCCCGTGGGGGCTCCCCAAGCTAGGGAATTTTCACTTTTCCCCCCCGTGGGGGCTTCCCCAAGCTAGGGAATTTTCACTTTTCCCCCCCGTGACAGCTTCCCAAGCTATGGAATTTTCACTTTTCCCTCCCTTGGAGGCTCTCCAAGCTGCGGAATTTCAAATAGCTAGACAACGACGCCTAGATAGTCCCCCAAATCCCGTGTTCTTTGAATGTGTTTCCATGTTTTTGCAATGGTTTCCTTCAAAGCACGGTACTTTACACTTTTGTCGCCATAAAACCGGTCGAAAACATCATGTTCGACAATGCTTCCAATTCCCTTATCTCCCCAACCGTTGAAAATACCGCTATTTACAGTGTTTTCTTCAATTTTTCCATGTTCCAATGCCGGTAGCCAACTCCAACATATATATAAGAAATCCTTCCAAAACATTGTTTTTGACAGTGTTTTTCCAATGTTTCCAGTCAAACAGACGGTAATTTACACGTTTTTTGCCATAAAGGCAGTAAATCCTTCCAAAACATTGCTTTTGACAGTGTTTTTGTAATGTTTCCAGTCAAGCATACGGTAATTTACACGTTTTTTGCGATAACGTCAGTCCAAAACACTTGTTTTTGCAGTGTTTTCAATGCTCTGGCATCCAAAAACCCTGCAAAATCTTGCTATGTACAATGTTTTTTTTCATTTTTGGCCGTTTTTCCATTGCCGGAAAGCTACCAAAATGACCCAAAATTCCATTTCAATACCCTCTTGCACTCAGACACCCAAAAATCCTCAAAAAATGTCGAAAACACCACCGTATTCTGGTCTCGGTGCGAAACCGTTTTTGCCCCCCCCCAGCTAAAGCTGATATAGCGACTGCTATATTAACAAATGTCATTGAGCATTTAGTGTTGCTGTTTTGCCCCCCAATAAGCACGCCTTCACCGCCAAAGCGGTGTGGGCGGATTTTTTTGCGTCTCGCAAGCCACGACCAATCTCACTTTGCCCGACTGTCACCTCTTACTCTTGCGCGGCTTGTGCCAGCCTGCAATAGGATTGTAATGATTGTAATGATCATGGGGAGAACCACTATGAACCAACAAGTACAGGGTTGTCATTGACGTCATCAAGAAAATTTGAAAACAATATCATATTATCATATTCAATATGTTCCAAAAAAGTTTTTTTTTCTCCAAAATTTGGAGATGACATATATACATTACCATCGAGATTTCATGATTTGGACGAGAAAACACGCCACAAAATGGTCATCTTTGGAGCGCCAGAGTCTCGCCCCGGAGGCCATCTCCAATCGTCACATGTGCATTAGCCGCTCGGCATGGAAGCAACGCTGTTTCAACGCCGCCAGTGGAATGATGGGAATGATGGGATGACCATGGAGAAGCCCTCTGACATTTTCGATCCTGCTTCCTTTTGTGGGATGCCTGAGTTTCCCTTTTGTTTTTTTTCCCTCTGTGCTTTCTTATATTATACGTTCTGCAAAAGGACACGGTTTTTGGTGTCTCTTCATCTAGTGGCATGGGGAACTGGCGGGTAAGACTTGGCTTGTTTTTTCTTGTTGTTTTCTTTCAGATGCTTAGATTTCAAGTCTCAAGCAGCATGTGTTTTAGGATTTGCATTGCCGAAGTTGCGGAGCCAGTCCATGGCCACGGAATCAACCCATCATGAGATGCAACGCCAGGTTTTGCGTCTGATGGCACCGCCAGTATCCGAGATATTGGCTCCCGTGGGGCGACCAAGATTCCAAGATGCATCACTATCTGGCACAAAGAATGATACAACACTATGAGGGTATGGGTCAAAACCTATTAATACCATTTTTAGGGGGTTATTCACATCCATAAATCCCAGCTATGACTTGGGGTTCACGGCACGGTACCAGGGTTTTGACCCATCCCCATGACATGATGTAGGCTTGCCGCGCCGCCGGCGCCAAGGGAACGGAACCTTCCTGAACGACCATCGTGTTGCGGCGCCTGGTCCTTGGTGTTGGGGAGCCACTGTGCTCACTGTATGGGCACGACAGCTAGTGGTTCGTTCCCGATTCACTTAGCATTGGCATCATGTTGCATCCGGTGCAGGCCGCTTGACATGACACAGAGCAAAAACAAGTAGGTTTCCCTGGAATTGCGTATGCAGGGATGCAGAGCCATAGATTGATGCTGATAGAACAAGAGTGCTGCAACAAATTATAGATGAATACTATGAATACCAACGGGCCATTTTTACGTCTTTTCTTTGCCCATTTCCCCTCTTATCTGAGGTGTTGGGAGCAGCCCTGTAGAAAGGGCATGAAACAGCTGGTGTTTTGGCATGTTTTCCAATTTCTTTCCGTTGATTTTCAAGAAATCAGTGATGCGATGTTGAGGACTGCCCTTGTCATGAAAAGTGGTGACAAAGTCCAGCTAGGCTGGCAGGGTGGAGCTGTAGTGGGTGCCGTTCTTGGGTTGGAGTGCTTGGACCTTGATTGATTGATTGATTGATGATCCATTTGAAGAGAGTCAAGAGAGGAAAAGGTGCCGCTTCAGACAATCTGGCAAAGCGCGTGCTAGCCGGGGACGATGCTCCAAGTGCCATTTGCAGTATTTTTTCACATTTTTTCAATGTTGGATTTGTACAAAAGGCCTGCTCAAGTCCTCCATTTCCATCATTTCCTGGTCTGCCTTCTCTGGATGCAGCATTCCAAACCGGTGTGTGCCAAGGGGTCTGCAAGTTTGGGTTGAAGCAGATTGAGTTTTGGATTCTGATGGATTCTGGATGGCCAGGTGTGGATGGGCCAAGCTATGTCTTCACTTGGGGTCAATGACTCAGAGTTGCAGGGAGCCATATTCGGGTGAGTATCATCCCCACAAAGGCCTCACCATTTTTTTTTCGGGAGCCGCACACTTCAAAACAGGTTTTTCGCAAATGCGTAGCCGAACAACTCAGGTTTTGGATTGGTTCAAATTTGTATAATCTGTCTGAGTCATAACAGAAAAACGATGAAAAACGGTACTTAGGGCTCATGGCCTGAAGTTGGAGCATTTTCATGCTTGATGGCGGAACCGTGGAAATTTTGCTTTCTGGGTCATCGTCTTCTGGAGGTTATCCATGTTCAGCCAGCTTCTTTGCAGCCATGAAGTGACATTAACATGCCCTGACAGCACAGAGATGTGCAGAGACATGATTTTTTTGATTGGCTGTCGTACCAAAGTCAACATTTTCCCATTTCTGCAAGTAATTTGCCGCGGGAGGTTTGACATGGTGCCTGATGGAGCAGTTTGCGAAACATATTTGGCAAAGACACACATCCCATACATAGGTCCGACGATGTCTGATGCAACTTGTTGATAGTCACTATGCCTTGTTTTGATTGACGCCATGCCAACGGGCTTCGTGTGCCAACTTCATTATCGAGGTGGTGGCGCTTTGCTTTGCCAAACTTCCACCGGAGATTCGCGGCAGTTGCCTTTTGCCCACACCCCGCCACACGTGCGGGTAGGCCATACTGTGACGTTTTCACTGGCTGCAGATGGGGTCGATCTCGCGGTGGATCTGGAGGTATGCCAGGAGAAGACTGCAACATCTTCAGCAAATGCAGAGATGGGAGGGCAAATTATGCAGGAAAAACCGGCAAAACCTTTGTTTGACACATCAAAACAACCCTCCAGGAAGCTGCAGCGAAGTATCACCAGATTTCATAATGCAGATTTGAAAGAAAGGCTTCGGATGATCGAAACTGCGGAAGGTTTGCTACATGACTTGCTGAATGAGGTCGAGTTGGATGGTGATGCCATCTGCAAGTTGCTATGTCGCTGTGCTGGGTGGCTCCATCCTCCAGGCTCCTTTGAAGCCAAACACGTCTCTTCCACTGAGGATACTGCGGGTGCTGCGGTTTCTGAGCCTAGTGACTTGCAGCGCCGGGTGAGACGTTTGTTGATCCTGGCTTTGAATTCCTTGGATTTGAGCGACACCACAACCTACAGGGCAGTCGAAACAGCTGTGCTACACATTCTCGAACTGCTGCAGGGAAAAGAGACCTCGTTCTCTGGGAATGGTAAGTCGCTTGCGAAGAGACAGTGGCGGCAACTTCGAGAGTTGCTGGTAGCAGAAGCCCCGCAAAGTGACCCGACGCAACGAAAGGCATCAGATGAAGCACTTGAAGGTCTCAGAAAGAAGGCCACTACAAGGTTGCCAAGGAAGGATATGTCGGCGGCCGTTGATGGCGTGTTTCGCCCATCCAAGCGCATCAGGAGCTTGCCAACAGTCTATGAGGCCCCGGAGCAAGTTGTCATATTGAAATGCTCCAACTGCGTGGAACGTATCAGCACCACCTGGTTCTGGAAACATCCCGGACATGGAAAAGTATATGCCCTGGTTCCGCATAGTGGCCATGGAACCTGTGGGAAGGTGCTGAGGAAGAGATGTCCTTGGAGATCCTTGGATGGTGCCGACACTTGCTTGGACAATTTTGTACAGCTGGATTTTTGCCACCACAACCGCCAACGGAGATTTTGCACGAAGTGTGGTGGTAGTAGAATTTGCCCTCACAACCGCCGACGCAACAATTGCAAGGAGTGTGGTGGTAGTAGCATTTGCCCTCACAACCGCGAACGGAACAATTGCAAGGAGTGTGGTGGTAGTGGCATTTGCCCTCACAACCGCCGACGGAACAATTGCAAGGAGTGTGGAGGTAGTAGCATTTGCCCTCACAACCGCCAACGGAGCAAATGTCCAGTGTGCAAGACTCAATTCCCGACCTAACATGCAATGAGAAATGGAGTTCCACCAGACGACAGTTGTTCAGGTCGGGGGGACAGGAAATTTTTGATCGGCCGGATGGGGAAAAAACAACCCAAAAAACATGTTCCGTGTCAGTAGGCAGGGCAATTGCAGCCAAGTTTTGGGACGCAGTTTAGAACCACGGGGAGGTTTCCACACAAACGAGTACAGGTAAAGGGAAACATCCAAAGGGGTCAACACTTGAGCTTGGTGAGTACTAATTTATACTATTTCAATAATTTGACATCAACCTCCTCACTTCAAATAGTAACACCCTTAATTATTTTAGTCAATTTTTTGGCTTCAGCGTGAAGTTTCAGGGTGAAACCATTTTTTCTGGATACTTTACACTGCAGATAGCTGACCAGTCGCACCTGTATGACACTTCAAAGCGGGGAAACCATGCATTTTTTCCAAATTTTCAGCCAAGCAAATCAGGTTTGAGACCTATTCGTAGTCATCACAAAACATGGTTGTGTTCTTTGGGCTCATGGCCAGATTTGAGCGTGGCAAAATCATTGGCACACTTGATGAAATCAGACTTGCTCCCTTGCTTGCTTGCTTGCTTATTTGCTTGCTTGCTTAACTCACTTGCTTACAGACATTCATACAAGCCCCTTTAAAACCGATACATAAAGTCAGGAATACATGCATACGTGCATACATACATCTGCACATCCACACATCCACACATTCATGCACCCACCTACCGATCCATCCATCCGTCCATACATACGTACATACAGATTGTATCTTGCCATTCTTGCCTAGTAGTTGTAACAGTCATCTAGAGGATTTGAATGGATTGCTTAATATTTTGGGGTAGCTTTGTTTTGACTGTCGTCCTTCGTACAAAAAATCGTGGTCTAGATCGTGCTTTTTGGTGCTTTCCTTTTTTGTGCTCTGCTTGGTGCCAAAAAATGTGGCTTGGATCGCGATTGCTGTTACAGCTATTAGGCAAGACTCAACCGATTTGACATCAACCCCGCACTTTGATCGGAACGTCGTACTTCCAATCCATGTTTTGGATTTCTGTGCGCAACTGCAGCGGCAGCAAACATTAACATGGCTGACAGGTTGCACTTTTGTGATGTTTCAAGACAGCTAAAACGCGCTTTTGCTTAAATTGCGTATAGCGTAGTAGCACAAAGGTAGGTAGGTTTGGAATTGTTCTCAATCTGTCTGAATCATCACAGCGAAACAATAGTTTACTCAGGGTTCATGGCCTGAGGTTGGTGAAATGTCGCACTTGATGGTGATACCATGCAAAACCATTAAACTATTTTCTGAGTCATTACATATTCTTCTGGACATCATTAATTTTCGACTGGTTTCTTTGTAGCCATGAAGTGACATGACCATGTCCTCATAGCGCAGCGACACGCAGAGCCACGTCTGTAGTTGCCCAAAGTCATTTTTGGGTTTGTTGTTTTACCAAAATACTTTTCTTTTATCAGATCATCATAGATCATCTTTGTAGCTGATGATGCATTTCTCCACAAGTAATTTGTGGAAGTTTTGTATGGTGGATGATGCGGCAGCTTGTTAATATATACTTGGCAAAGGTACATATCCCATACATTTGTTTGACGATGTCTGATGCAACCTGTTGACAGTCATTGCACCTAGCTTTATTTTGATTGACGCCATGCCAACGGGCTTCGTGTGCCAACTTCATTATCGAGGTGGTGGCGCTTTGCTTTGCCAAACTTCCACCGGAGATTCGCGGCAGTTGCCTTTTGCCCACGCCCCGCCACACGTGCGGGTAGGCCATACTGTGACGTTTTCACTGGCCGCAGATGGGGTCGATCTCGCGGGGGATCTGGAGGTATGCCAGGAGAAGGCTGCAACAACTTTAGCAAAAGCCGAGATGGGACGGCAAATTATGCAGGAAAAACCGGCAAAACCTGTGTTTAACATATCGAAACAACCGTCCAGGAAGCTGCAGCGAAGTATCACCAGATTTCATAATGCAGATTTGAAAGAAAGGCTTCGGATGATCGAAACTGCGGAAGGTTTGCTACATGACTTGCTGAATGAGGTCGAGTTGGATGGTGATGCCATCTGCAAGTTGCTATGTCGCTGTGCTGGGTGGCTCCATCCTCCAGGCTCCTTTGAAGCGAAACACGTCTCTTCCACTGAGGATACTGCGGGTGCTGCGGTTTCTGAGCCTAGTGACTTGCAGCGCCGGGTGAGACGTTTGTTGATCCTGGCTTTGAGTTCCTTGGATTTGAGCGACACCACAACCTACAGGGCAGTTGAAACAGCTGTGCTACACATTCTTGAACTGCTGCAGGGAAAGGAGACCTCGTTCTCTGGGAAGGGTAAGTCGCTTGCGAAGAGACAATGGCGGCAGCTTCGGGAGTTGCTTGCAGCAGAAGCCCCACAAAGTGACCCGAAGAAACGAAAGGCATCAGATGAAGCACCGGAAGATCTCAAAGAAAAGGCCAACAATACAAGGTTGCCAAAGAAGGATTGGTCGGCCGCCGTTGATGGCGTGTTTCACCCATCTAAGCGCATCAGCAGCTTGCCAACAGTCTATGAGGCCCCTGAGCAAGTTGTCATATTGAAATGCTCCAACTGCGTGGAACGTATCAGCACCACCTGGTTCTGGAAACATCCCGGACATGGAAAAGTATATGCCTTGGTTCCGCATAGTGGCCATGGAACCTGTGGGAAGGTGCTGCGGAAGAGATGTCCTTGGAGATCTTTGGATGGCACCGACACCTGCACGGACAATTTTAAACAGCTGGACCTTTGCCACCATAATAGGCAAAGGCCGCAGTGCGTTGAGTGTCGGGGTAGTGGCATTTGCCCTCACAACCGCCAACGCAACACGTGCAAGGAGTGTGGTGGTAGTAGCATTTGCCCTCACAACCGCCAACGCAACACATGCAAGGAGCGTGGTGGTAGTAGCATTTGCCATCACAACCGCCAACGCAACAAGTGCAAGGAGTGTGGTGGTAGTAGCATTTGCCCTCACAACCGCCGACGGAACAATTGCAAGGAGTGTGGAGGTAGTAGCATTTGCCCTCACAACCGCCAACGGAGCAAATGTCCAGTGTGCAAGACTCAATCCCCGACCTAACATGCAATGAGAAATGGAGTTCCACCAGACGACAGTTGTTCAGGTCGGGGGGACAGGAAATTTTTGATCGGCCGGATGGGGAAAAAACAACCCAGGAAAAAACATGTTCCGTGTCAGTAGGCAGGGCAATTGCAGCCAAGTTTTGGGAAGCAGTTTAGAACCACGGGGAGGTTTCAACACAAACGAGTATAGGTAAAGGGAAACATCCAAAAGGGGGTCAACACTTGAGCTTGGTGGAGCTTGATGAGTAATAATTCATAATATTTCAATAATTTGACATCAACCTCGTCATTTCAAATAGTAACTCCCTTAATTATTTTACTCAATTTTTTGGCTTCAGCGTGAAGTTTCAGGGCGAAACCATTTCTTCTGGATACTTTACACTGCAGATAGTTGACGAGTCACACCTGTATGACACGTCAAAGCGGGGAAAGCATGCATTTTTTCCAAATTTTCAGCCAAGCAAGTCAGGTTTGAGACCTATTCTTAGTCATCACAAAACATGGTTGTGTTCTTTGGGCTCATGGCCAGATTTGAGCCTGGCCAAATCATTCGCACACTTGATGAAACCAGACTTGCTCCCTTGCTTGCTTGCTTATTTGCTTGCTTGCTTGCTTACTCACTTGCTTACAGACATTCATACAAGCCCCCTTAAAACCGATACATAAAGTCAGGAATACATGCATACGTGCATACATACATCTGCACATCCACACATCCACACATTCATGCACCCACCTACCGATCCATCCATCCGTCCATACATACATACAGATTGTATCTTGCCATTCTTGCCTGGGCCTAGTAGTTGTCATCAAAAGTGTTTTAATGGATTGCTTAATATTTTTGGCTAGCTTTGTTTTGACTGTTGTCCTTCGTGCAAAAAATCGTGGTCTAGATCAGCTTTTTGGTGCTTTCTTTTTTTGTGCTCTGCTTGGTGCCAAAAAAAGTGGTTTGGATCACGATTGCTGTTACAGCTATTAGGCAAGACTCAACCGATTTGACATCAACCCCGCACTTTGATCGGAACGTCGTACTTCCAATCCATGTTTTGGATTTCTGTGCGCAACTGCAGCGGCAGCAAACATTAACATGGCTGACAGGTTGCACTTTTGTGATGTTTCAAGACAGCTAAAACGCGCTTTTGCTTAAATTGCGTATTGCGTAGTAGCACAAAGGTAGGTAGGTTTGGAATTGTTCTCAATCTGTCTGAATCATCACAGCGAAACAATAGTTTACTCAGGGTTCATGGGATACCATGCGAAACCATTAAACTATTTTCTGAGTCATTACATATTCTTCTGGACTTCATAAATTTTCGACTGGTTTCTTTGTAGCCATGAAGTGACATGACCATGTCCTCATAGCGCAGCGACACGCAGAGCCACGTCTGTAGTTGCCCAAAGTCATTTTTTGGTTTGTTGTTTTACCAAAATACTTTTCTTTTATCAGATCATCATAGATCATCTTTGTAGCTGATGATGCATTTCTCCACAAGTACAGTGATTTGTGGAAGTTTTCTACGGTGGATGACGCGGTAGCTTGTGAATATATACTTGGCAAAGGCACATATCCCATACATTTGTTTGACGATGTTTGATGCAACCTGTTGACAGTCACTGCACCTTATAGCCTTGTTTTGATTGACGCCATGCCAACGGGCTTCGTGTGCCAACTTCATTATCGAGGTGGTGGCGCTTTGCTTTGCCAAACTTCCACCGGAGATTCGCGGCAGTTGCCTTTTGCCCACGCCCCGCCACACGTGCGGGTTGGCCACACTGTGACGTTTTCACTGGCTGCAGATGGGGTCGATCTCGCGGTGGATCTGGAGGTATGCCAGGAGAAGGCTGCAACGGCTGCAACATCTTCAGCAAATGCAGAGATGGGACGGCAAATTATGCAGGAAAAACCGGCAAAACCTGTGTTTGACATATCAAAACAACCCTCCAGGAAGCTGCAGCGAAGTATCACCAGATTTCATAATGCAGATTTGAAAGAAAGGCTTCGGATGATCGAAACTGCGGAAGGTTTGCTACATGACTTGCTGAATGAGGTCGAGTTGGATGGTGATGCCATCTGCAAGTTGCTATGTCGCTGTGCTGGGTGGCTCCATCCTCCAGGCTCCTTTGAAGCGAAACACGTCTCTTCCACTGAGGATACTGCGGGTGCTGCGGTTTCTGAGCCTAGTGACTTGCAGTGCCGGGTGAGACGTTTGTTGATCCTGGCTTTGAGTTCCTTGGATTTGAGCGACACCACAACCTACAGGGCAGTCGAAACAGCTGTGCTACACATTCTCGAACTGCTGCAGGGAAAGGAGATGTCATTCTCTGGGAACGGTAAATCGCTTGCGATGAGACAGTGGCAGCAACTTCAAGAGTTGCTGGTAGGAGAAGCCCTGCAAAGTGACCCGAAGAAACGAAAGGCATCAGATGAAGCAAGGTTGCCAAAGAAGGATTGGTCGGCGGCGGTTGATGGCGTGTTTCGCCCAAACAAACGCGTCAGGAGTTTGCCAGCAGTCTATGAGGCCCTTGAGAGACTTGTCATGTTGAAATGCTCCAACTGCGTGGAACGTATCAGCACCACCTGGTTCTGGAAACATCCCAGACATGGAAAAACATACGCCCTGGTTCCGCATAAGGGTCACACAACCTGCAGGAAGACGGCGGGGAAGACTTGTCCTTGGAAATCTTTGGATGGCACCGACACTTGCTTGGACAACTTTACACAGCTTGATTTTTGCCACCACAAGCGCCAACGGAAATTTTGCACGAAGTGTGGTGGTAGTAGCATTTGCCCCCACAATCGCAGGGGTTACAGGTGTTCAGTATGCAAGACTCAAGCCTGGACCTAACATGCAATAAGAAATGGAGTTCCTCCAAGCCGCGCTTGTGTCAGGTGGGGGTTACCTCACCGACCTGTTACTTTTGAGTACTGTAAATCACCATGTTTCACCACAGACTAGAACAGGCAAACTGGGACAACACTTGAGGTTGGTGAGTGATTAATCATTCAACAAATCGACATCAACCCCTACTTCTCCTAGCAACACCCTTTGTTCATGTCTTTTTTGGGGCTTCAGCGTGATGTTTCAGCGGGAAACCCTCCCCTTCTGGATATATAATCATATAGCATACAGAGACTGAAAGCAGCCGACCAGTCACATCTATACTGTATGACACTTCAAAACGGGGAAGCCATGCATGTTTTTTACGAATTTTACAGCCCAACAAGTCAGGCTTGAGATTGATTTCTTAGTCATCGCAAAAATTATAAAGAGGTTGCTTACGGTATTTGGGGTTCATGGCCTGGCTTCAGTTTAATGAAATGATTTGCGCACTTGATGACAAAAACATACTTCCTCCTTCCTTCTATTGTTACTTTCTTTGATGCACTTTACTTCACTTCACTTCTTTTAACTTTAATTGCTTTCTGACTTTCCTTACTCCAATTTACCTGACCTTACTTTACTTGACTTTACTTTGCTGATTGATTTTTAATTCACTCACTCACTTTCTCACTCACTCACTCACTCACTCACTCACTCACTCACGCACTCACTCACTTGGTTAACCAACGTTACATACATACGTTAAAAGCATACATTACACACATACGTTACATACAAACGTTGCAAACACACGTTACATACATGTATTACATACATGTATTACATACATACGTTACATGCATAGGTTGCACACATACGTTACATACATGCGTTATATACGTTACATCACACATACGTTTCATACATATGTTGAATACATACATTACATACATACAACCATTTCATACATAAGTTGCATAATGTTGCATACATACATTACATACATACGTTTCATACATGCGTTACATACGTTTCATAGTTACATAGTTTCATAGTTTCATAATTACATAGTTACATAGTTACATAGGTACGCAGTTACGCAGTTACACAGTTACATAGTTACATGCATGCATGCATACAGACAGACAGACAGACAGACATACATACATGCAATTACACAGACATACATACATACATGCATGCATGCATGCATGCATGCATGCATGCATGCATACATACATAGATACAGACAGACGGACGGACGGACGGACCGACCGACAGACATACATACATCCATACATCCATACATCCATCCATACATACAATCATACAGACAGACAGACAGACAGACAGGCAGACAGGCAGACAGGCAGACAGGCAGACAGGCAGACAGGCAGACAGGCAGACAGGCAGACAGGCATACAGGCATACAGGCATACAGGCATACAGGCATACAGGCATACAGACATACAGGCATACAGGCATACAGGCATACAGGCATACAGGCATACACACATACAGGCATACACACATACAGGCATACAGGCATACAGGCATACAGGCATACAGGCATACAGGCATACACACATACACACAGACACAGACACACAGACACACAGACACACAGACACACAGACACACAGACACACATACACACATACACACCCGCGCGCACACACACATGCACATATACACACATGCACACACTGTCACACTGGTCTGGTTGTGGGAGGTTAAAGGCCGAAGGTAAATCGAAACGGTTGAGGTCGAGGTGAAATCCAAATAGTTGAAGAGCCCCTGTTAGTTACCAGAGTGTTCGTCCTGAGAAAGGCTTCTAACTTGCGATTCAAACATGGCATAGCATACTATAACAGATTGCGGCAACCGTGCCGTTGGTGATATGCATGCTTAAATCGTCCGGGGCCTTGATAAATTTTAGAAGCTGGAAAACAACGAAGGAGAACAGCTTGGTCAACAGTTCAAACAGTGCAGGTACGCCAGACTGGCCAAGTCTGGTTTCACCGTCAAAGGTAAGCGTCTTCGTTGGCAGGAGACTGCTCCTGCCCCCGGCGTAGAATTGTATACATCTGTTGAATCAAAAACAGCCCCAGTGCGAGAAGGGTATTCGCACACACATACACACACACACACATACACATGCATGCATACATGAACGAACGCGCACACACACAACACATACATAGATACATAGATACATAGATACAAAGGTACATAGATATATAGATACATAGACACATAGACACAGACACACAGACACATAGATACATAGATACAAAGATGCAAAGATACACAGATACGTAGACATAGATACATAGATACCTAGATACATAAAGAGAGATACATGGATACATGGATACATAGATGCATAGATACATAGATGCATAAATGCATAGATGCATAGATATCTAGAAGGCGATGGAGAGAGAGAGAGAGACATAGAGACATAGAGACATAGAGACATAGATACGTACCTACGTACCTACCTACCTACCTACCTACCTACATACATCCATCCATCCATCCATGCATGCATACATACATACATACATACATGCATACATACATACATACATACATACATACATGCATACACACATACATACACACATGCATGCACACATGCATGCATGCATACATGAATACATACATTGATACATAGATAGATAAGTAAGATAGATAGATAGATAGATAGATAAATAGATAGATAGATAGATAGATAGAATGCACGGGTAAAAGGGGCCCAGAAAAATGCGACCAGAAGCCGAGAAGCCGAGAAACCACCGGACAAGCCGAGAAGCCGAGAAACCACCGGACAAGCCGAGAAGCCGAGAAGCCGAGAAGTACGAAACAAGCCGAGAAGCCGAGACGCCGAGACGCCGAGAAGCCGAGAAGCCGAGAAGCCGAGAAGCCACCAGGCAAGCCGAGAAGCCGAGAAGCCGAGAAGCCGAGAAGCCGAGAAGCCGAGAAGCCACCAAGCAAGCCGAGAAACCGAGAAGCCGAGAAGCCGAGAAGCCACCGGACAAGCCGAGAAGCCGAGAAGCCGAGAAGCCACCGGACAAGCCGAGAATCCAAGAAGCCCAACGTATGACGCGAATGAAATGAATGAAAGGAATAAGGATCGCCGACCGCTTCAACAATCAAGAGTACCCGCTTCAGCAACCAGCATGACCGATTTAAGAAACCAAAATGGCCGATGTAGAAACCAAAATGACCGATTCAGCAACCAAAACCGCGTTGCGATTCCAAAACCAACTGAGAGGCGACCCAAAGACAAAAGGTCCGACTCAAAAATTTAAATGTGCGACTCAAGAACCGGAATGCACGATTCAGCAACCAAAACTTCCGAAACAAAAATGTCACATCTTCAGCATCACAAGACATCAAATCCGCTTACCCCCTCTGAATAATACGTTGCACCTTGAGCATTACAAGGCATCATCCCCGCCACCCCCTTTGAACACTATGTTGCATCTTCAGGGTCACAAGACAGTAGCCCTGGCACCCCCTCTGAACACTATGTTGCATCTTCAGCATCACAAGACATCAACTCCCCCACCCCCTCTGAACAATACGTTGCACCTTGAGACATCAGCCCCGCCACCCCCTTTGAACACGATGTTGCATCTTCGAAGATCAACCCAGCGACCCCCTCTGAACACTACGTCGCCCCTTGAGGATTGCAAGACATCCGCCCCGCCACCCTCTCTGAGCACTATGTTGCATCTTGAGCATCATCACAAGACATCAGCCCCGCGCTCCCTCAGGCTCCCTCTGAACAATACGTTGCACCTTGGGCATCACAAGACATCAACCCCGCCATCCCCTCTGAAGACTATGTTGCATCTTCAGCATCACCCTAGGGAGTCTTTAGCGTTTCCTTAGGGTTTCTTTAGGGGGTTCTTTAGGGTTTCTTTAAGGTTTCTTCAGGGGTTTCTTTAGGGTTTCTTAAGGGGTTTCTTAAGGGGTTTGGGTCCGGTTTCTTAAGGGGTTTCTTAAGTTTTTTTTTCTGCAGGGTTTCTTGAGGGGTTTCTTTAGGGTTTCTTTAGGGGTTCTTTAGGGATTCTGCAGGGTTTCTTTAGGGTATCTTGAGGGGTTTCTTGAGGGTTTCTTTAGGGGGGGTTTCTTTAGGGATTCTGCAGGGTTTCTTTAGGGTATCTTGAGGAGTTTCTTGAGGGTTTCTTTAGGGGGTTCTTGAGGGGTTTCTTTAGGGATTCTGATTCTGCAGGGTTTCTTTAGGGTATCTTGAGGAGTTTCTTGAGGGTTTCTTTAGGGGTTTCTTTAGGGGTTCTTTAGGGGTTCTTTAGGGTTTCTTCAGGGGTTTCTTCAGGGTTTCTTCAGGGGTTTCTTTAGGGTTTCTTAAGGGTTGTTTTTCTGCAGGGTTTGTTTAGGGTTTCTGTGTGGGTTTGTTTAGGGTTTCTTTAGGGGTTTCTTTATAGGGGTTTCTTTAGGGTTTCTTTAGGGGTTCTTTAGGGTTTCTTCAGGGTTTCTTTAGGGGTTCTTTAGGGTTTCTTCAGGGGTTCTTTAGGGATTCTGCAGGGTTTCTTCTAGGGTATCTTAGATTAGGGTTTCTTTCAGGGTTTCTTTAGGGGTCTCTTTAGGGTTTCTTTAGGGTATCTTGAGGAGTTTCTTTAGGGTTTCTTTAATTTTTTTGAGTTTTTTTTTCTAAGGGTTTCTTTAGGGGTTTCTTTAGGGTTTCTTTAGGGAGTCTTCACAAGACATCAGCTCCGCCAAGCCCTCTGAACAATGCGTTGCATCTTCAGCATTACAAGACATCAGCCCCGCCACCCTTTCTCAACATTATGTTGCATCTTCAGCATCACAAGAGATCAACCCCGCCACCCCCTGTGATCACTACGTCGCACCTTGGGCATCCCAAGACAATTAGCCCCGCAGCCCCTTTGAACACTATGTTGCATCTTCAATATCACAAGAGATCAACCCTGCCACCCCCTCTGAACAATACGTTGCACCTAGAGCATCACAAGAGGTCAGACCCGCCACGCCCCTTTGAACGCTATGTTACGTCTTGAGCATCAGAAGACATCAACCCCGCACCGCCCCTGTACAATAGGGTGCACCTTGGGCATCCCAAGAGATCAGCCCCGCCACCCCCTTTAAACACTATGTTGCATCAGAGTCACAAGAACTTAACCCTTGCCACCTCTTCTGAACAATACGTTGCATCACAAGATAGCAATTCCGCCAGCTCCCTTTGAACAATACCTTGCACCGTGAGCATCGTAAGACATCAATCACACCCTTCATCTGAACACCGTATTGCATTTTGAACAGCACAAGACATCAAATCCGCTTACCCCCCTCTGAATAATACGTTGCACCTTGGGCACTACAAGACATCATCCCCGCCACCCCCTCTGAACACTATGTTGCATCTTCAAAGGTCAACCCCGCGTCCCCCTCTGAACACTACGTCGCCCCTTGAGGATTGCAAGACATCAGCCCCGCCACCCTCTCTGAACACTATGTTACATCTTGAGCATCAAAAAAGATAAACTCCGCCACCCTTTGAATGAATGAATGAATGAAGGAAAGAAGAAGAATGGAGAATTAAGGGAACGAAGGAATGAGGGAATGTAGATTAGACGCGGCGCCAACAGCGTCGCAGCGTGGATCCCGCGTCGCAGCGTCGCAGCGTCGCAGCGTCGCAGCCGCAGCGCCAACAGCGTTGCAGCGTCGCTCCCGCGTCGCAGCGTCGCAGCGTCGCAGCGTCGCAGCGTCGCAGCGTCGCAGCGCCAACAGCGTCGCAGCGTCGATCCCGCGTCGCAGCGTCGCAGCGTCGCAGCGCCAACAGCGTCGCAGCGCCGCTCCAGCGTCGCGGCGTCGCAGCGTCAACAGCGTCGCAGCGTCACTGGCCCAACGGCAGCGTCGCAGCGTCGCAGCGTCGCAGCGTCGCAGCGCCACCCGCCCCCCAGAGCGTCGCAGCGTCGCAGCGTCGCAGCACCACCCGCCCCCGGGAGCGTCACAGTGCAACGTCGGAAACCCACGTTTCGGCCCCCTTTGCCCCTCCACTGGATGGATAGATAGATAGATAGATAGATAGATAGGTACGTACATACATACGCACGTACATATACATATACATATACATATACATATACATATACATATACATATACACATATACATATACATATACATATACATATAATACATACATACATACACAAACACACAGAGATGCACAGATACAAAGATACACACATGCACGCACACAACTGTAGATACATACATGAAGCAAACTGACATGGACCCCCACTTCTGATCGAAATGGCATGTTTCCATTCAATGTTCAGCGTTTCCATGCGCAATTCCAGCGGCAGCAACAATGGCTGACAGATTGCCTTTTTGTGCTGCTTCAAAACAGACGAAACATGCGTGTTGTTAATTTGTGCGGCAGAACCAATCGGGTTCGGGATTAATTGTTCCCAATATTTTTCAATCGTTTTGAATCATCCGAAGCCCGTAGTTTACTTACTGCTCTTGGCCTGAGGTGGGTGAAATATGGTGAAATGATTTGCGCACTCGATGACGAAAACGCACGAAACCACACGAAACTATTGAGATTTGCTTTCTGGGTCATAGTCATCATAGTCTGCTGCATGTCATCCATTTTCGGCCGGCCTTTTTGCAACCCCGTACTAGTAGGTGACATAACCATGTCCTGACAGCACAGCGATGTGCAGAGCCATGTCTGTGGTTGACCGAAACAATTGGTTGTTTTACCAAAACCAGCATGTTGCCAGATCATGTTGTGACGATTCATTCTTCCACACGTAATTCTTGTACCAACATTTGCCATGATGGTCATAATGCCTGATGTAGCATGACATATGGTTGGCAAAGACAAACATCCCATGCATTGGTCTCCCTATATATACTGGGTCTGATGCAATTTGTTAATACGTGTAGTCATTGTAGTCATGGCACCTTATTTTGATATGAGCAAGGGTCAAAAGACGCTATGAAAGGCTTCAATTACGATCCGCCATCACTACTCAAAATATGTGATTTACTGTGTGTAGCGATAGGGGGCCTTATGTAGCGATACCTCTTTTTAGACTTTGTTTATGATTGAAGCTTCCTGTTGGGCGCATGACTTTCCAATCTTTTGATGTCAGAGTGCGACACTGGAGCAGTCGCAGTGGGCTGGTCTTCCTGGGTAGTTGCAAGATGGCCTGTCGTCAAGTATATATGAGATAGTTACATTAAACAATATTGATATATTGGGGTATGTTGATCTATAAGGTATGCAAGAAACTAATTCATAACGCATCATGAGCTTGATGATGGTGATGATGCTGATGATGATGGTGATGGTGATGATGTTGATTCAGATAGTGACCGTGCTGAGATATGTTGAAAAAGCATCCTTGTGCGGTCACGGACGCTTCTCCAAAGCCACTGTCCAGGAGTAGAATTGCAACATGGAGCTTGTCAGAATTTCGTGTCACTTGAAACATACACCTGAGATCACACATTTTCTGGTCCCCGTAGCGATGCCCGAAGCGATACCCCTCGATACCCAGAGCGATACCTGAAATCCATGAAATTAGGGAGTACCCCACATGGTCACTTGAAACTATACAACTTGTGCTATAGGTGGAAAAATATGGGAAGTATGGGAAAGGGTACCCTCAAGTTCTTACTGGGTTAGTTCTTAAAGGGTTCATTTGGTCAGGGTTTTGCCGATTCATTTTGGCGTGGTATTAGGTTGCAAAGGAGGCGGGGTGAAGAAAAAAAGGCGCCGGAAACAAGGCAGCACAGGCAAGACAAGCCAAGACAAGCCAACACAAGCCAAGGGCAGCCTCCGAGGTCAGATGACCTGCAGTGAGTCCGGCTGGTGTCTAGCTGAAGCTGTCGACGTCAGCCTTGGTGATCACATAAAAGTTTGAATTTCCCTGGAGATACCATCGCAAGGGGAATAAGAATCCGATTCCTCATCTGGATCCTCCTCTTCTAGCAGCAATTCTGCCTAGTTGGTGAAAAGGGTGCTGGGACTGTGTGTAGCGATAGGGGGCCTTATGAAGCGATGCCATGACCTCACCACATGAATTGAGTTTTGACCGTCGCACATATATTATAATTGTAATATATTTTGACGCCATGCCAACGGGTTTTGTGTGCCAACTTCATTATCGAGGTGGTGGCTCTTTGCTTTGCCAAATTTCCACCGGAGATTCGCGGCAGTTGCCTTTTGCCCACGCCCCGCCACACGTGCGGGTAGGCCACGCTGTGACGTTTTCACTGGCCGCAGATGGGGTCGATCTCGCGGTGGATCTGGAGGTATGCCAGGAGAAGACTGCAACATCTTCAGCAAATGCAGAGATGGGACGGCAAATTATGCAGGAAAAACCGGCAAAACCTGTGTTTGACATATCAAAACAACCCTCCAGGAAGCTGCAGCGAAGTATCACCAGATTTCATAATGCAGATTTGAAAGAAAGGCTTCGGATGATCGAAACTGCGGAAGGTTTGCTAAGTGACTTGCTGAATGAGGTCGAGTTGGATGGTGATGCCATCTGCAAGTTGCTATGTCGCTGTGCTGGGTGGCTCCATCCTCCAGGCTCCTTTGAAGCGAAACACGTCTCTTCCACTGAGGATACTGCGGGTGCTGCGGTTTCTGAGCCTAGTGACTTGCAGTGCCGGGTGAGACGTTTGTTGATCCTGGCTTTGAGTTCCTTGGATTTGAGCGACACCACAACCTACAGGGCAGTCGAAACAGCTGTGCTACACATTCTCGAACTGCTGCAGGGAAAAGAGACCTCGTTCTCTGGGAACGGTAAATCGCTTGCGATGAGACAATGGCGGCAACTTCAAGAGTTGCTGGTAGCAGAAGCCCCGCAAAGTGACCCGAAGAAACGAAAGGCATCAGATGAAGCACCGGAAGATTTCAAAGAAAAGGCCAAACACACAAGGATAGGTCGGCCGCCGTTGATGGCGTGTTTCGCCCATCTAAGCGCATCAGGAGCTTGCCAACAGTCTATGAGGCCCCTGAGCAAGTTGTCATGTTGAAATGCTCCAACTGCGCCGAACGTATCAGCACCACCTGGTTCTGGAAACATCCCGGACATGGAAGAGTATATGCCTTGGTTCCGCATAGTGGCCATGGAACCTGTGGGAGGGTGCTGCGGAAGACATGTCCTTGGAGATCCTTGGATGGCGCCGACACTTGCGCGGACATTTTTAAACAGCTGGACCTTTGCCACCATAATAGGCAAAGGCCGCAGTGCGTTGAGTGTCGGGGTAGTGGCATTTGCCCTCACAACCGCCGACGGAACAATTGCAAGGAGTGTGGTGGTAGTAGCATTTGCCCTCACAACCGCCAACGCAACACATGCAAGGAGTGTGGTGGTAGTAGCATTTGCCATCACAACCGCCGACGCAACAGGTGCAAGGAGTGTGGTGGTAGTAGCATTTGCCCTCACAACCGCCAACGGCCGCAGTGCGTTGAGTGTCGGGGTAGTGGCATTTGCCATCACAATCGCAGGCGGTATAGATGTTCAACATGCAAGACGCAATCCCCGACCTAGCATTCAATGAGAAATGGAGTTCCACGGATGATGAGAATTGCCCCATGAGCCAACCTGTTCCCGTGATTATTTTAGGGCCCCAGTGAGATTTCACCACAAATGAGTACAGTCAAGGGAAACCACCCAAACTGGGCTAACACTTGAGGTTGGTGAGTAATTTACTTATTCAAGAATTCGACATCAACCCTCATTTCTACTGGCAACACCCTTTGCCCATTGTTTTTGTTTGGGCTTGAGTGCGAAGTTCACGCGGGAAGGAGTGCTTTGTGGATATTTTCAGAAACAGCAGAGATTGAACATAGCCAACCAGTCGCCCTCACATGATACTAGGAGGAGCCATGCAGTTTGTTCAAGTTCATAACCAAGCGGGTCAGGCTTAGCAAAATCACAGACAGTTTTGTTCTTTGGGGCCCACGGCCTGGTTTCAGCTTGTATGAACTGATTTGCGCACTTGATGATGAAACCATACTTCTTTCCTTGCTTCCTTCCTTCCTTCCTTACTTTTTTTTTTTTTGCGTGCTTGCTTACCTTACCTTACCTTGCCTTGCCTTACTTTACTTTATGTACTTACCATGCCATACTCTATTGTACTTTTTACTGGTTTTACTGTGCTAAGTTACTTGCTTGCCTTGCCTTACCTTTCTTTACGTTACTTTACGCGCTCACTCACCCACTTACCTGTGACATGCATGCATGATCATGCATGCCTACCTTCCCGCCTAACTACTGTACATCCGTCTATCCATCCATACATCATCATACATCATCATACATCATCATACATCATCATACATCATCATACATCATCATAAATCATCATACATCATAATACATCATCATACATCATCATACATCATCATACATCATCATACATCATCATACATCCACACACCCACACACACCCACACACCCATACATCCATACATCCATACATCCACACATCAATCCATCCATCCACCCATACATCCATACACCCATACATCCATACATCCATACATCCATCCATACACCCATGCATCCATCCATACATCCACACATCCATCCAGACATCCACACATCCAGACATCCACACATACACCCATACATCCATCCATGCATCCACACATCCATCCAGACATCCACACATCCACACATCGACACATACATGCATCCATGCATCCATGCATCCGCACGTACATATGTACACACGTGAAAACAATTTGACATCAACCCCCGCTTCTGATCAGACTGTCATGTTTCCAGTCCATGTGGCGCTTTCCGTGTGCAGATTTAGCTAATTTAGCTGCAGACGGACGAAACTGTCTTCTGGAGGTCATCCATGTTCGGGCGGGGACCAGGGGACCATGTCCTGACGCAGCGATATTAGCAGAGCCATGGTTGTTTTAATTTGTTTTATCGTAAATAGCAACGTCAACATTTTTGCAGATGTGTTGAGCTGATGATGCATTTCTCCACAAGTAATTTGTATAATTTGTGCAAGTTTGCCATGGTCGCAGATGCAGCAGTTTGTGAAATTATGTTTCTGCATGTGTTTTGCTGATGATGCATTTCTCGGCGAGTAATCGAAGTAGGATAGTTTGCCATGGTCGCAGATGCAGCAGCTTGCAATTGGTAAAGACAAAACATTCCACACACTATGCACCAGAGTCTGATGCAATTTGCTGATAGTCACTGCAGCTTGTTTTGATTGACGCCATGCCAACGGGCTTCGTGTGCCAACTTCATTATCGAGGTGGTGGCTCTTTGCTTTGCCAAACTTCCACCGCAGATTTGCGGCAGTTGCCTTTTGCCCACGCCCCGCCACACGTGCGGGTAGGCCATACTGTGACGTTTTCACTGGCTGCAGATGGGGTCGATCTCGCGGTGGATCTGGAGGTATGCCAGGAGAAGGCAGCAACAACTTCAGCAAAAGCCGAGATGGGACGGCAAATTATGCAGGAAAAACCGGCAAAGCCTGTGTTTGACATATCAAAACAACCCGCCAGGAAGCTGCAGCGAAGTATCACCAGATTTCATAATGCAGATTTGAAAGAAAGGCTTCGGATGATCGAAACTGCGGAAGGTTTGCTCAGTGACTTGCTGAATGAGGTCGAGTTGGATGGTGATGCCATCTGCAAGTTGCTATGTCGCTGTGCTGGGTGGCTCCATCCTCCAGGCTCCTTTGAAGCGAAACACGTCTCTTCCACTGAGGATACTGCGGGTGCTGCGGTTTCTGAGCCTAGTGACTTGCAGCGCCGGGTGAGACGTTTGTTGATCCTGGCTTTGAGTTCCTTGGATTTGAGCGACACCACAACCTACAGGGCAGTCGAAACAGCTGTGCTACACATTCTTGAACTGCTGCAGGGAAAGGAGATGTCATTCTCTGGGAACGGTAAATCGCTTGCGATGAGACAATGGCGGCAACTTCGAGATTTGCTTGCAGCAGAAGCCCCGCAAGAAAAGGCCAATAATACAAGGTTGCCACACAAGGATAGGTCGGCCGCCGTTGATGGCGTGTTTCGCCCATCTAAGCGCATCAGGAGCTTGCCAACAGTCTATGAGGCCCCTGAGCAAGTTGTCATGTTGAAATGCTCCAACTGCGTGGAACGTATCAACACCACCTGGTTCTGGAAACATCCCAGACATGGAAAAACATATGCCCTGGTTCCGCATAATGGCCATGGAACCTGTGGGAAGGTGCTGCGGAAGAGATGTCCTTGGAGATCCTTGGATGGTGCCGACACTTGCTTGGACATCATTGCACATCTGGATTTTTGCCCTCACAACCGCCAACGGCCGCAGTGCGTTGAGTGTCAGGGCAGTGGCATTTGCCATCACAATCGCAGGCGGTATAGATGTTCAACATGCAAGACGCAATCCCCGACCTAGCATTCAATGAGAAATGGAGTTCCACGGATGATGAGAATTGCCCCATGAGCCAACCTGTTCCCGTGATTATTTTAGGGCCCCAGTGAGATTTCACCACAAATGAGTACAGTCAAGGGAAACCACCCAAACTGGGCTAACACTTGAGGTTGGTGAGTAATTTACTTATTCAAGAATTCGACATCAACCCTCATTTCTACTGGCAACACCCTTTGCCCATTGTTTTTGTTTGGGCTTGAGTGCGAAGTTCACGCGGGAAGGAATGCTTTGTGGATATTTTCAGAAACAGCAGAGATTGAACATAGCCAACCAGTCGCACTCACATGATACTAGGAGGAGCCATGTAGTTTGTTCAAGTTCATAACCAAGCAGGTCAGGCTTAGCAAAATCACAGACAGTTTTGTTCTTTGGGGCCCACGGCCTGGTTTCAGCTTGTATGAACTGATTTGCGCACTTGCTGATGAAACCATACTTCTTTCCTTGCTTCCTTCCTTCCTTCCTTCCTTCCTTCCTTCCTTCCTTCCTTACTTTTTTTGCGTGCTTGCTTACCTTACCTTACCTTGCCTTCCTTACTTTACTTTATGTACTTACCATGCCATACTTTATTGTACTTTACATCACTTTACTGGTTTTACTGCGCTAAGTTACTTGCTTGCCTTGCCTTACCTTTCTTTACGTTACTTTACGCGCTCACTCACCCACTTACCTGTGACATGCATGCATGATCATGCATGCCTACCTTCCCGCCTAACTACTGTACATCCGTCTATCCATCCATACATCATCATACATCATCATACATCATCATACATCATCATACATCATACATCATCATACATCATCATACATCATAATACATCATCATACATCATCATACATCATCATACATCATCATACATCATCATACATCCACACACCCACACACACCCACACACCCATACATCCATACATCCATACATCCACACATCAATCCATCCATCCACCCATACATCCATACACCCATACATCCATACATCCATACATCCATCCATACACCCATGCATCCATCCATACATCCACACATCCATCCAGACATCCACACATCCAGACATCCACACATACACACATCGACACATACATGCATCCACACATCCAGACATCCACACATACACACATCGACACATACATGCATCCACCCATCCAGACATCCACACATACACACATCGACACATACATGCATCCACACATCCAGACATCCACACATACACACATCGACACATACATGCATCCACACATCCAGACATCCACACATACACACATCGACACATACATGCATCCACACATCCAGACATCCACACATACACACATCGACACATACATGCATCCACACATCCAGACATCCACACATACACACATCGACACATACATGCATCCACACATCCAGACATCCACACATACACACATCGACACATACATGCATCCACACATCCAGACATCCACACATACACACATCGACACATACATGCATCCACACATCCAGACATCCACACATACACACATCGACACATACATGCATCCACACATCCAGACATCCACACATACACACATCGACACATACATGCATCCACACATCCAGACATCCACACATACACACATCGACACATACATGCATCCACACATCCAGACATCCACACATACACACATCGACACATACATGACACATACATGCATCCACACATCCAGACATCCACACATACACACATCGACACATACATGCATCCACACATCCAGACATCCACACATACACACATCGACACATACATGCATCCACACATCCAGGCATCCACACATACACACATCGACACATACATGCATCCACACATCCAGGCATCCACATATACACACATCGACACATACATGCATCCACACATCCAGACATCCACACATACACACATCGACACATACATGCATCCACACATCCAGACATCCACACATACACACATCGACACATACATGCATCCACACATCCAGACATCCACACATACACACATCGACACATCCATGCATCCACACATCCAGACATCCACACATACACACATCGACACATACATGCATCCACACATCCAGACATCCACACATACACACATCGACACATACATGCATCCACACATCCAGACATCCACACATACACACATCGACACATACATGCATCCACACATCCAGGCATCCACACATACACACATCGACACATACATGCATCCACACATCCAGACATCCACATATACACACATCGACACATACATGCATCCACACATCCAGACATCCACACATACATATGTACATACGTGACAACAATTTGACATCAACCCCCGCTGATCAGACTGTCATGTTTCCAATCCATGTGGCGCTTTCCGTGTGCAGACGAAACAGTCTTCTGGAGGTCATCCATTTTAAAGGCCGGGGACCATGTCCTGACGCAGCGATATTAGCAGAGCCATGGTTGTTTTAATTTGTTTTACCGTAAATAGCAACGTCAACATTTTTGCAGATGTGTTGAGCTGATGATGCATTTCTCCACAAGTAATTTGTATAATTTGTGCAAGTTTGCCATGGTCGCAGATGCAGCAGCTTGCAATTGGTAAAGACAAAACATTCCACACACTATGCACCAGAGTCTGATGCAATTTGCTGATAGTCACTGCAGCTTGTTTTGATTGACGCCATGCCAACGGGCTTCGTGTGCCAACTTCATTATCGAGGTGGTGGCTCTTTGCTTTGCCAAACTTCCACCGGAGATTTGCGGCAGTTGCCTTTTGCCCACGCCCCGCCACACGTGCGGGTAGGCCATACTGTGACGTTTTCACTGGCTGCAGATGGGGTCGATCTCGCGGTGGATCTGGAGGTATGCCAGGAGAAGGCTGCAACAACTTCAGCAAAAGCCGAGATGGGACGGCAAATTATGCAGGAAAAACCGGCAAAGCCTGTGTTTGACATATCAAAACAACCCGCCAGGAAGCTGCAGCGAAGTATCACCAGATTTCATAATGCAGATTTGAAAGAAAGGCTTCGGATGATCGAAACTGCGGAAGGTTTGCTAAGTGACTTGCTGAATGAGGTCGAGTTGGATGGTGATGCCATCTGCAAGTTGCTATGTCGCTGTGCTGGGTGGCTCCATCCTCCAGGCTCCTTTGAAGCGAAACACGTCTCTTCCACTGAGGATACTGCGGGTGCTGCGGTTTCTGAGCCTAGTGACTTGCAGTGCCGGGTGAGACGTTTGTTGATCCTGGCTTTGAGTTCCTTGGATTTGAGCGACACCACAACCTACAGGGCAGTCGAGACAGCTGTGCTACACATTCTCGAACTGCTGCAGGGAAAGGAGACCTCGTTCTCTGGGAACGGTAAATCCCTTGCGATGAGACAATGGCGGCAACTTCGGGAGTTGCTGGTAGCAGAAGCCCCGCAAAGTGACCCGACGCAACGAAAGGCATCAGATGAAGCACTTGAAGGTCTCAGAAAGAAGGCCACTACAAGGTTGCCAAAGAAGGATATGTCGGCGGCCGTTGATGGCGTGTTTCGCCCAAACAAACGCGTCAGGAGCTTGCCAGCAGTCTATGAGGCCCCCGAGCAAGTTGTCTTGTTGAAATGCTCCAACTGCGTGGAACGTATCAGCACCACTTGGTTTTGGACACATTCCGGACATGGAAAAACATACGCCCTGGTTCCGTGTAATGGCCACGCAGCCTGCAGGAAGACCCTGGGGAAGACTTGTCCTTGGAGATCTTTGGATGGCACCGACACCTGCGCGGACATTTTTAAACAGCTGGACCTTTGCCACCATAATAGCCAAAGGCCGCTGTGCGTTGAGTGTGGTGGTAGTAGCATTTGCCCTCACAATCGCAGGCGTTACAGGTGTTCAGCATGTAAAATGCCATCCCTGACCGAACATGCAATGAGAAATAGAGTTCCACCAAGCCGCGATTGTGCCAGGTGGGGGCATAGGGATTTTTTGAATGGCTGTAGGGTAAAACTTTGGCCAACACTTTCTTTAGGTTGGTGATTGGTGACTACTTATTCTATAATTTGAGACAACAACCCTTCCATTGGACATGGAACACATATATAACTTCAAAAAGTTTCAGGGGCAACCATCCCTTATGGATAATTTACTGGGAACGTAGCCGACCAGTCACCTGTATGAAACATTAAAACACGGGGAAACCATGCACTTTTCCGAATTTATAGCCAAGCAAGTCAGGTTTGAGACTTGGGGCTGGTGGCCCGATCTCAGCTGCTTGAAATGATTCGCACACTTGCACACATAGCCTGTTAAAATACACGTCCCAGGGTTTATTTTGTCTTGTGGTCTCTGCTTGGTATCTTATTCGTTTCTCATTGGTTCTTTAGCATAGCCTAAACTATTCCCCGCCCCACCCAACACTCTACTGTAAATGGCGAGAGAGACTGGCTCTTATCTCTTGCTTTCTTCCCGGGAAACCGTTCCAGCGCGCCCCCACAGAAGGATCAAATAGCCTCCTGATCCCCACCTATCCAGCTCCCCATAACCTAGGTCCCGCCTATTATGCTCGCTGGCCACGAGAGCTGCAACGAGCAAGTGGGGCGCGAGGCGGTTCGGCAGTTCATTCTGGGAAATTGGAGATGTTTTTGGGGCCAAAACTCACAGGAACTAACCTTTGCATTTCTGTCTGAGCCGAGTGAGTGCCACATGGAGGATTTGGACATACACGGCTGCTGGGATCTCCATGAGCAGTTGTCACTTCTCCCTTCGCTTCGCAGCTGGGGGCTTATAGCAGGGGCGGTTGAAATGAAACATTCAGCATATGAAGAACACCAGCCCCGAAAATCCACTTCTAGCTACGAGAGGCAGTAGCCCCGCCCGAAACTCAAAAGATGCTTACTTCCCAGGCTATGATCCGTTAGAATCGTTAGAAGGTGTGAATGTGCAAGAAACGGACTCTCGTTTCGATGCTTTGCAAACGATTGATATTCAAGTTGCAACACCAGACGCTAGAGAGCCAGAAGCATTTGAATGTTTCAAGAGGTGGATCATTGAAGGGATCATATCATTTTCAGGTCTTGACACCAGACGCAGAGACTATCCATTCATCATTCTAGGAACACACCATCTCCCAACCCATTTTCTCACAAAAGCAAACCTGTGATCCCAACATTTCCATGGAAATCTGCCAGCATCTGCCAGCTGTTTCTGGGGATCTCTTCAAATCCCCATCATTTCCCAGAGTTTTTTCATCCAGTGGCCCCATCGCCATGTTGGGAGATCTTATGGAACGCACCTCCTTAGCCGAAGCGTTGGACAAGTTGAACTCCGACGTGGCGGCGCAACATGCGGCTGGATTAGATGCCCTGAAGACGTGGCTGCAGGTTCTGGGGTTTCTGGAATCACTGGGAGAATCTTAAGGTTGAAATGGGAATGGGTCAATACCTATTAATACCATTTTTAGTGGGATGAACATCCATAAATCCCAGCTATTTTGATGTGAACTACAGGGGTACAAGGTTTTGACACACTGCCAAATGGGAATGGGTCAAAACCCCGTAATCAGTGCTGTAGATCAAAGATGATCAAAGTAACTAAGTGGATTTTCACCACCCAAAAAGATGTATTGGTAGGGATTGATCCATAGCCATGTGTAGGCTGGTTGTATTAGTTTGGAATATTTTGGAATTTAGATGGCTAGATAGGCTTAGATAGGTGTACCATGGTGTACCCATATAGATTTATATGTAGCCAAGCTTAATCTCCAAGAACCAAAAGCAGCACTCAAGCGGCAGGATCCAACCAATCTGGAGAAGGCAGATGATGACCCGGAAGTTTGGCCAGCTGTTTTAAAGATGCTGGACAAGTATGGCAAGCGCCAGCTCGAGAACTTAGCGCGTGCAGGTGGTCGCAAGGGCACCTTCAAGGTGGATGGCCCTGCAGTGCTGCACCAAGTGCTGCACCACCTGGGGCGGAACCGAAAACGCAAAGCTCCGCCGGGGGAGAAGATGATGAAGGCTCAACTGCTCCATGGTGAAAGTTGCTGGGGAAATTGGATGTCTATCCTGTACCCTGTGGTGATTTAATGTGGCGACCCGGAAAATCACCATTAACAGGGCAGTTTCTATCAGTAAATTAGTCATTTTCAATAGCAATGTTAAATAACCGGAGGGTATTTAGGATAAATTGGATAATATACACCCAAGTAGTAACTGGGATTTAGTGGGCGATATTCATGGTAAAGATCATCCAGGAGTGAACATTTGAAGAGTCAGGATGATTGCGGGAGCCCAAAGATATCCACATTTGATGGTTTGTGGCATGTCATGATCCAGTGTCAGCAGTGCCTCATTTTTGTGGAACGAAGGCAATAGTTGTCAGACAATTCGACAGGGCCCCCCAAAAAAGGAGAAGGTTACACCTGGGGGCTACTTGCGTGGACGATGCAGATGCAATTTCCTCTCCCTTTCAAGAAAGTCCAGCGCCCATCTGAGGCGCATTTGGTCCCACATCACTGAGAGCTTGCGTCGCGTGCTCAGCAGGATCAAGCTGTGACACTTGGCAGCTGCCTCAGCTGCACCCGAGGTAATGAGACCCTGGCAGCGAAGCAGCCGGAGGCGCTTTTCTATTTTTGCAGCTCGGCAGATGGTCGGCTCTACCTCACTGGTGTTGTCCAATGCAACGCTAATCTTGTGATTCACCCCTTAGCTTGGAATTTCTTGGGGAACCGCAGCCAGCTACCGTTGATATTGAGAGGGTTGATGATGGAAGGGTAGCCAAAGAAAAGGTGTACAATCGAGATGACGATGCGAATTTGGTATACTTCTCTGACCAGGCCAAACAAGCAAATGGACTCAAAATGGCACAAGCATGACGGAAGGCTTCAGCTTACATGGCATACAGCTCACATGCATTCGGCGGAATATGATGATTTTCATTTTCATCTATATACAGTAGTTACTGTATTTTGCACAGAGTAACAGCCCCCATACAAGATGCAACGATGCAATGCTCACCATGCTTGTCGATTTCGCAAGACCGCAGGTGCCCGACTTACAATCTTTAGTCATGGTCACGGCTTAGCTGTTTGCACAGACACCACCCACGTTCCAAGTCCAGTTCATGGTTCACAAATGCTGGGTATGTGGCTTAAACTTGGATAATTTCACGATTGGACGGCCAAAAAATGGATTGATGCCCCAAAAATTGCTGAGAATCTCCAGGTTTTCCACAAGTGCGCCCCCAAGAATCCCAAATCTCTGGCTTTTCCCAGGTTTTCCCAGGTTTTCCTTCGATTTTCCAAGGGTCACCAGGTTTTCTCCCCATACCGAGGCAAGGCCGCGGCGGAGTTGTCCGAAGCCGCTGAGCACGGTGCCTTGCCGCGTGGGCGGGACTTGAAGACGGTGCTGAAGGTCTTGTTGGAGGCACCTGGGGCACAGGTTTGATGTGGTTTGGTGGATGGTAACTTAAGACATGTGACCACCGGATAATCCACCTGATCTATTTTTTAGAACTCTAAAATTTACTGTTGGAAGGTGGATGCAAGTGCGAATGTGCAATGAATCTGGTATCAAACCAGCATAACCAGCATAACCCATGATATCCCATGATATCCCATGATTTACAAGTAGCATCAAGTAGCTTTGCTAGATGGGGATTGGTTTACCCTTTGGCAGTTCAGCCTACCATGGGAACAACCATATTTTTTTGGGGGCCAAGATCTCTACATGGGTACCACGGTAGATATTTTCATAAGGTGACGGCCACAACTGGGGTTATGCAAATATACAGGACCACGTCAATACAGGCTCAGAGTAGATTAGATGAATATCATATCATATAATATCATAATATTATTGAATTATATAGATTCATGTGGGGATTTTTGAGGCGGTCGCTCTGCGACCGGATTGACTTCAACGGCTTCTGTCAACCAAAACGAGGTGTCTCATACAGTACCATGTACCCTGACCTTTAGACCAAGGGACTCCAATAGAATTAGAGCTGTTTGTTTGTGGCTCACAGCGTGCGCAACAAATGTCACAGCCCGGAGGCCTGAAACAACTCTGGCAAGAAAAGCAAGGAGATGAATAGCGAAACATAACGAAACGCAATCAAAGTATATCAAAGTCTGATTCTGTGTGATCTACAGTGAATCTACAGCGTTTTTCCCCACTGTTTGTGGTTCATCCCCCAGTCTCCACCAGTCGCTGCCAGGTGCCCAGTGGCTACTCGCAGAACGCCCAAGGGGCGGCGTTGAATGCGGCTGCGTCCTTGTGTCGCTACGTGGATGGAGACATCGTGGCAGAGGTGCCGTTGATCTGCGAACGATCCCTGGCCTTAATGCGACTTGGATGCCAGTGTAGATGGTTTATGTCATGTTATGTCGCTGTTTGTTTCATTGGGTGATTTTTTTCACCTACGTGAAGTCTGAGAGGAAGTTAGGAGAACAATAAAACATGATAAAACATGTACAACTGTATAAACATGTTCATTTCTCAGTCATCATGAGCCCACTTCCCTGACAAAGTGAGACAAAGTGAGGGTTGGGCAGGGTCGGGAACTGATGCCTTCAGAGTCCTCTGCATTCCAGGCAGAGCTGCGGGCAAGCTGCAGCCAACTGCTTGGGCGCTTGCGCCCTGCGGGCGCCTTTCGCCTTCAGGGACTGGGTGGCGTGTCACTTGGAGAACTTCGTGGGACGCATGATCAGCTGCTGGCCCCAGAGGCAGAACATTGATCAACTGGAGCCCTGGGCTGGTTGGGCTGGGCTCAGTTGAGCGTTGGGCTCGGTTGGAGGTGAGGTAGGAATAGGCGGCAAATGGTCAAATATGTTGCCAAAAAATATGAAGAAATAGATGATGTGGGTATATTGAGGCCAAGTATATCCAAGTATCACCATGTGTCCTGGATGGTCCGGGAGGCTACCTGGATTTCGACCAGTGGCTGCTTAGATTTCAACCCCTCGATAGAGGGTTGCAGTAGTGGCTCCGCGCGCTTGATCCTTTGCTCCTTAGGAGTTGGCGATGCGTTTGGCTCTGAATTTGGGGCTGGACTTGCCAAAGCGTGAGGCGCTTCCCACCAGGGATGTTGGTGGGTATGGTGGGGTCGCAATTTTGTCAAGCATATCCTAACATGGGTTGGTTCTTAGTCCAGAATTGTGAACACTTGCTGGTTAGGTTCCTTGATTTTGACAGGGCAGGATTTTATAGGATTTTCAATGTTTTTCCTGTGGCATCTGTGTTAATAGCACAGGCTTCCCCCATTGAATCCCCTTGGAGGCGCAGACACTTCTGCCATTGGTCGTTGAGACCTTGGAGCAGCACGCTTTGGCAGATTCGGCGGTGGAACGGAGCCGATTTCGTGGCGAAAAGATGCTTCTCTATCAGCTTCTGTGATTTTCTTTTGATGAGCTCAAAGTGACTGGTAACCCCCTTAATCGCCATAGTATTCAATGCAACTTAGCTGGTTTCACCCTCTCCAAAGTCGACTGGTTTCACCATCATCCTTTGAGCCCAGGACGGATCACCAGCGGTCGCTGCTGCGGGCACGCATGGCAGATTTGATGGCCGCGCTGCTTTGGAGCCTCAACATAAAGACCTGGGGGAGAAGTGACCGTGGTCACCTGTGCTGCATGCTCAAGGACAAGTGTCCACCAGAAAACGCGAGGTTGTAACACTAGACATCTCTAGAAAATTCATCAAAATTCAAGATTCCATTGGGATGATAACTGGTTGACTCCAGGTAAGAAACTTGTTATGGAAAGATGTGCGTGGGGAATCGGACATTCCAGCAAGGAAACGGTCTTCATCCCGGCTGCACCTCTTTCCTCTGAGGCAAGCTACAGGCTCAGCAGCCGATGCTGCGAGCGAGCTTTGTGTACAGCTGGAGCGCCGCTGCTTGCCATGGGCGTTGTCCTCACCTCAGTTTTGACTCTTTCGATGTGGAATCCACCGCCCTGCTCAAAATGCCAAAAGGACATGCATGAATTTTCAGCATGGCCACCTCCAGCAGCATTGTGGATGATGATGATGATGATGATGATGATGATGATGATCCATCATCAGATCATCAGATCATCAGATCATCAGATCATCAGGGTCTCCCAATCCTTGGAGACCATGGTCCAGGTGTCTGGTGCGCCTGGTGGAACGTTTCCAGTTGGACCATGAACAGCTTCCACCTCTGATGGCCGCGGTACTGCGGCAGCTACAAAAAGCCAGGGTGGAGATGGAGCCCACGAGGGGCACCTGCATGATTCGTCAACGTTTGACTGTGTTGAGTCCGAACCCCCAAACGAACAGCGAAGTTTCCACCAAACCATGAAACCATGGTGTTGTCTGGTCATGCTTAGCCATGCTTGGTTGCAGGAGCCCGCGTTGCAGGGCGCCCTGGCCGCTCTGTTGAATGCCCATGGCTGGATGCGGCTGGCAGCGCGGGCGCGACCGTTGCCTGTGCAGCTGGGATGTGGATGAAGACCTGGGGGGGAGGGGAAGGATACAGTATACAGTACACACAGTACACACAAACAAACATTACATATAGATATACAGGGCATACCATGCACATATTCATGGCAGTTTTGGGCAGGGCAACTTTTAACTCATTAAACTTCTTCCAAGTAATGGTGTTTCATTGCCCCACCATCCAGTGCTCATAGTTTTCTGTCTCACCTATCAGCCTATGAAGTTCGTTTCTTGTGACTGTGACTGTGAGCACTCCGAGGTGGTGCAGTCTTCTATGTCCTGAGATGCCCTGTTTGTTGTGCAGCCCCGGCATCGTAGAGAACCTACCCGCCCTGGATCGCTATGAATGCAGTCCGGAACTGGCACAGCAGCTGCTCGGCTCAGTCTATAATTGGGATAAGATAGTTGGTGTACAACCAATTAATGGAGAAACTATACCTCTATAATATAACTACCATACAATCATACATATTTCAATAGATGTGGTCTGAAGATTCTGAAGGCGATGGAGAGAGAGAGAGAGAGAGATTTGCATTGCATTGAACTTGGCAGTTGAATTCATTTGGGTTGTACTTGTCGTGCTTATCCCTAATTTAACTATCATCATCTTCCTGGCTATGTGGGCTACCAGAAAGTTACACCTCCCAAATTGCAGCTGCTATGGTGCTTGGGTGAGGTTCAATGCAGCTGTGGACTACGTCAAGGCCTGGTGGGCTCAACGGTCTGCACCTGTGGAAAGCCACTTTTGGCACCTCGCAGCCATGGTGTTTCTGATGGCTGCAGACACCAAAGACCTGGAGGCGCAAGGATGATTGTCAAAAGAAGGATGGTTTCATAGCAAAAACAGTGACATGCGAGCCATACTGCTTATATCAACTTGGATATCTCTATTGTTGATTATTTTGATTACAGATGATTAATGATGATTATAGCCCCGTTCTTGTTGGCAGATCAACCTTGTTTTTGATGGTTACAACTTACAAGATCATATGAGTAGATGTAGTTAGTATAAGAGTTGCATTCCACTTTTCGATGCTGAAATTTTGATGGTCAATAGTCATCCCCCCTTCTGAGCCATGCCCAGTCAGGAGAAACTCTGGGGACAAGTCTCCACCAAGACCAGTTCCTCGTCGAAAGCCAGCGCCCTGCTCTGCGCGGCACGGCGGCAGCCGGTGGGAGCTGAGCTGCAACGAAAGGTGCTCGAGGTGCTGCGAGCGAGAATTGACGTTTGTTTTTTTTTCCTGTTCATTTCGGCTTTCAAACCAGCTATTTATTTGGATAGATGGTTTGATTTTGATGATGGATGTTCATGGCAGCGGATGTTGAGTTGCTGTTACTATTGGAGGTCCTCCTGACTGAAAGCTTTGAGCATCAGTGGGCCTTCATGCGGATTGCCTCCATCCCGCTGCCTGACCTTCCAGAAGCTGCAAATGCGGTGCCTTGTCCAAGCAGGGAACTAGCAGCGATTGTGTTCTCAGCATGTGAACTGAAAGAAGATGGATACCTGATACCAAATGTGATCGTTCTGGAAAGTGCTGGTGGGAGAAGATGCCCTGCTTTGGTGTGCTTTTGAGATATTTTGACCACCTAGCATAGGTGCCAGTTTGTTTTCTAGAAGTTTCCAACTTCGTGTGTTCTTTCTTGATACAATGGAATCCACAGATTTTGGTGAGCTCTGACATGACCCACCATCCCCATCAGTAAAGCAGCAACCCAGGTGTCCACTGATTGGACCTTGGAGATGAACGACTTCTACCTGGCTGTTCCCTTGCGCGATGCCATGCCTCAGGCGGCCGTGGAGGGGCGGCAACGGCGCTGTGGCTGGTTCGAGTTCGAGGGCGTGCTGCAACGACGCCGCTTGGAACCTTCAGGGACAAATTGGAAGATGATCCTAAGCCCTAACCATTCCTAAGCGCGAGGTCTTATTTTCGCGTTATCAGATGTTATAACTTTATGAAAGACGTTTTTGGCCTGCGGGGTAGGGTCTCTGTAAAGGGGCTTGGAAACCAGGTGTTTTCATGTGTTTTCTGCAAAAGGCCGTTTTTTTTTAAACATGTTTTCAGCGAAATCAAAGAAAACAATTTTTTTACCATTTTCCATGAAATGTCAGATTTGGCCAATCCAGATGGCTACAAAACTTGGTTTTTGGCCGTTTTCACTAGAACGCTGAAAAATGGAATTATCGATTTTTCCATTTTCCAGAGATTTAGGGAAAACCCGTTTTTTTTCAAAGTTTTGATGGTTTCCGGTGTTGCAATTACAGACCCATTTTTTTTTGAAGTTTTGACAACTTGTAAATCTGATCAACCCGAGGTCTGGCCATGGCTGCCCTGGAGACGGAGGTCTCCTCGCGGTCGTCTCAAGGCCCGGGATCCCTGCCCCAAGGGGATCTTGGGGATGGTTTAGGCCATCCATTTTTGCTAAAGATTGGGATGGTTTCCTCTGATTTATTCAGATATATATATAGATTACTCAGAATAATTGGGATGGTTTCTATTTTACTCCTGATGATTCAGATTTATTTCTATTCTACTCCTGTTCCTGGTAAAGTTGCGGATGGTTTATTAGTTTTCAGACTTGGTTGAAGGGAACCATTTGCGGTCGACCCCCTTGCTTGGAGGCCAAAACCATCGGGGTTATTTGTTCCCCTTCAACCAATCCATTGGGTCATTGGGCTACAGTACCTTCTGATAATCAAACATGGTTTGCCGGAAGATCCACCATGATCCACCATAAATATATATATATATATTATATTATATTATATTATATTATATTATATATATTATATTATTATATATATTATATATATAGAATATAGAATATATATAATATATATAATATATATATTGTATATATAATATATATATTATATATATAATATATATAATATATATAATATATATTATATATATATTATATACATATATTATATACATATAATTATATTATATATAGATGAATTTCCCATAAAACCACCATTTGTATAGGTTTCCCAGCCTACCATGCTTGATTACCAGAGGGGTTTCATCACAAGATTGGCCCCAATGGCTGTGGACTTTCCGAGGATTTGGAGCTGGAGGTCAGGGTGCCGAAGTGGATGAGGCCAGAATTTCCATGGTGAAAACTGGGGAAGTTCTCTTGGTGAAACCAGGGGCAAACATGAGCAAATCATAGCAAATCCTTGATCCGAACAGTGAGATTTCATGTATTTTCATGTGAAATGCTTAAGGAGGATTTTTTTAAGTTTGGTGCACTAGCTGTTGGCGATCACCATAGTGGTCAACCCCCAAGAAATGGCAAAACACTTTCCTTGGGATCGACGCCCCACATTCTCAAATTCCCCCAAGGATGATAATCCGTCCTCTGCCGCCTGCCGCAGGTGCTTCTCCATCGATATGCCCTGGCAGCGCAGTTGCAAGCACCCGCGAACTGGAGACAGCGCCAGCAACGTGCTGAGCCTGTAGGCCGCTGGGAACTGATGGGCACTGATGGGAACCCATGGGAACAGGCCGAAGGACCTTGTTTTGAAGTGGGCTTTGATGATGTTTCAATGTGTTTTCTATTGTTTTCTATGCTTCTTTCCGCCGGCATGCGATCCTGGCCAGGGATTTCCCAGTTTCCCTGACACCACCAACCTGAAAGTTGAACATGCGAGGCACTGATACAGGCGCCTTCTCTGCGGCATTCGCGGTGTTTATCTCCAGGCCCGGAATCACGATACCGTCATGCAACAGGCATCCACAAGGCTGCTCAAAGATATCCATGGAGAATGGATAGCCTATAAGATTCTCTAATTAGACTAGAGTGACTAGAGTCTAGAGCTGGGAAGTGGATGATCATGACAACCTCGACCCTGCTGGCAGCGTCAAAGCACATCTCAACCCTGTCGTCGCAGGTTTGACGCCTTCAAAGATGCCCAAGATCCTTCGCGCGAAATGGACCAACAGCAGTGCCTGGCTGAGCTGTTGCTGAACGGGGAAGAGGGGATCGCTAACGATGATACGATGGTGAGATGAAGGGCAACACACGTACATGCATATGCAATTAGGGTGAAAAAAGTAGCATTAGGATGGGTTCTGTACGTGCACACACTGGACATACAGAACATCAATGACACTGTTTTTCTTTTGGCAGCTATCCATGGCTGAGACCAGAAACATGACAGCTATCATCAGCTCAGCTATCTAAGGCTCTTGCGCGCAGCAGCTTCGCTGCTACCAAGTTTTGGTTTGGCGATTTCTGCTTGTAGCGGATCTGCGGGGAATCAGCGAATGCTGACAGACTGTGACTGGGACAAGATATGACAAGATATGGTAGATTTTGATATCCAAACTTCTGAGAGCTTGTTTGCAACATAATGACAGTGGGTAAACGCCAGTTGAGACTTGCACAGTAGCTGAAGGCTTCCGGCGCACTTTGCAGTTCGCTTGCACCCTGACTTCCAGCCAAGTGCCTGGCTTAGAGCAGCCGGATCACGACGAAGGCATGTTGTATGTGTTGTGATGATGTCTGGTGCCAACTACTGGGGACTAAGGCCAGAAACAATGAGATCGATGTGCCTTGTTTGCGAGCTGGGATCTGGTGGCTCTTGGTGACGGGCTTGCGCTAGGGAGTCCTAATCTCAGATCAGATTTTGTATGGTCAATCTGCCGCAATAGAAAGCATCTCTATATGGTTTCACATGTTTTCACTATATATATATATAGAAGCTAAGTTACTCGCGGTCGCCTCTTTTTTTTGATACATTTTGGTGCTCTCTTTTCATATGATACTTGTACCAGTTGATGCCTGCTAGAAGCAACTCGGGCTCCAGTCGCCCTTCGTCACACTCTCCACCGAAGCTCTGGAGAGTTCCCCCATGGCCTTGAAGCGCTTGACGAAGGAGTGGGAATGCTGGGATCAGCAGAGCCCCAACGGCGCCATGCAAGCCCTCGGGACCTTTGAAGAACAGCGACAGTTGTGGACGCTGAAACCACAACTTTCACCCTCGAAAGAGCCGAATATCTTCATTTGGGATGCTGAGTTGCAGGTGTCCAGCGGCCCCTTGAAAGGTGCATCCTTGGTGTATTCCATCCAGTTTCCTAGGGATTATCCCTTCAAACCTCCCACCATGAGACCTCAGTTTGCGGGCTTTCCAGTGCAGTTTCAGGAGCTCCAACCAGGTTGGTATGTCTTTATGGTTCCTCCCAAGTCCACCACAGGACAACGCCAGAAAGGGGCTGTCACGGCCGCAGGGGATTCAGAGATTGCAGTGCAGTGGATTAAGAAAGGTGAGATGGGTGATGATGATGAAGAGGCTGAAGGTGAAGATGTCATTACTTTGAGCTCCTTTGAAGGTCAAATTTCTCCAGTGCTTGGCCAAAGCCATGATGGTGTGGTGTATCACCCTCTGCTGGATACTTCAGGTATCTTTTGTTCCTGTGGCATCCGGGACAAGTGGTCACCCCACTTCACCATCCTCACCTGCCTCTCCTTTGCCCATTCCGCCATAGAAGATCCGACCAGTGAGGACGGCATGCGACCGGTGCCTGCAGGCAGCAGCAACGAGATGTGCTTCTGCACGGTGAATCCTGGGGCCTGTCAGGATTTCCAAGCTGGCCAGTGGGAGCAGCTCGCCCGCAGGCGATTCTTCACCGAGAAGGGCGTGGCTCCGTTATGTGTGAGCGCTTCGAGCATGGAAGCCACTGACGGCAGCTGCTGTATCGAATGCACTTCTCTGGCCGGCACGCAGCTAGGGAAAATCCAAATGGACTCTCAAAAGACCATGGAAGATTTGGAGAAAGAAATTCAGGAGAAGATCCCCATGAAAGAGACCGGGGTTGCATGGAAGATTGTCCTTCCAGATGGTGCTTGTGTTTCCGAAAATTTGAGATATCGGAGCATCGGCTCCATCTTCAATTTGCATTGATGACTCATGTCTCATGCCCATAGTATTCTATAGATTCTATAGTTGCCGTTTCACGAATGTTCACTTGCTCACCACAAAGTCTGGATGAGCAGAGATCTGCACAATGGTGCGAAAAGAATCAGAGACACGGGCAGACGTGGGCTCAGCATGGAACGCGTCCAAATGGCCAATGGGAGAGAAGATGCGTAATTACTGTATATAAAGTTTCTGTAAGGATCTGTAAGGGTAAAATCATCAGACAGAACAGGGCAATCCTTTGTTCACAGATGATAGAAAATTGTTTGGCCGATATGCGTGGCCACATTCTGCACGACCAGGTGTTGTCCCAAACTTTGCCGCAGGAGATCTCCCCATTTCACGTTTTAAATTTCTGAGGATGGGCTATGATGGGCCCTGGCATGCCCCATGTACAGATACCCAGGCCTAGTGGCCAAGTGAAACTTTCGGGCGGGGGCATCAAGGCCTTCTTTGCTTCGCTGTGCACCCTACTTTGGCAAGTGGCTCATAGTGGAGTGTTGGCATCCTCAGATGCTGGGCACAGCGATGAAGAGAAATGGATTGATCCAGAAATGGGTTTACGATGTTTACTCAGTTTACTCCAATTTATGGCCACTTTAGTGGAGAAAATGATGAACCATCAAGTTTGGAGGTACCCAATCTTCGGACAAACGGAAATGTGATCTCACTCACTCTCAAAGCCCCGCATCGTGGGACATGTTTTCATCAATCTTCGCAATCAACAGCCACCAAACTCGACCACCTGGCAGCCATCAATTGGCACTTCCAACTGGGTTGAAGTAGACTTGTGATGACCTTACTTATGCTGACATGGCGGCCATAGTTGTCACATTTTCGGGAGGCAACAGCCCCCCAAAAATCCAATCATAAAGTCGTCTCTGGGCCGCTCCCAGGACTACCAGAACTTGGTTGCCACGTTGGCCGAGAACATCGGTTCAGCACCATTAAGTCCAGCCGTAGCACTGGCAGTGCTGATGGCACTGACAGCATTGCAAGGCTTTGGGAAGGGAACTTGACACTTTGGAGAATGGTTGGCGGTTTCCATTCTTTTTTTGGCTTGTCCTCGAAAATGGGATCATTGATGATCATGATACCAACTGATATGTGGGAGATGTGTGTTGAAATGACCAGCCAGGATGGCTTTGGGTGTTTGTTTGTATCACGAGTCACCTGGCCAGAACAATCCTGACAAGGATGCGGCGTAGAATCAAGTCCTATAATCTCCTAAATAGTGTTTTTTTCCCATCAAGACCCCCATCTATAGTCATTTGTAGGGATTTGTAGGGGACTTCCCACTACAAACAACATCCATTTATCCCACTGCAACTGGCTGCCAGCGTCAGACAGCTGCTGCCGAGCTCTCCGTCAGCAGCTGCAGTTGCGTAAGGACCAGGGGAGGGCAGTCCGCAGTGCTGCTATTGGACCTCCAGTGAGTTAAAGCGACCATGCTGAACCAGTTGTTGAACACAGCCAGATCAGCCAGGAGGAGGAGCCTTATGCCATGCTGACAGCCATCCGATTTGCGGCAACAGAGATTTGCTGGTGCGTCGCCTTGGACTGATTCGGGGTGCCCCTCAAAGGGCATGGGTTGATGGCGTGGAATTAGGATGAATTAGGCTTAAGAACTGAGGCTGGCTTTGAAAGGAAATTTCTTCCGCTTGTGTTTCTTTCTGCGTGTGTTGCAATTACAAGGTTTGAACGGGGTTGTTTCATGTTGTTTCCATGATATCTTCACTGGTTTCCTCCAGTGGTCTCCCAATCCAAGATGATGAAACAAGTCAATTTCCGCTGTATATCTACATATATATCTATCTATTGATAGATATATAGATAGATAGATAGATAGATAGACAGACAGACAGACAGACAGATAGATAGATAGACAGACAGATAGATAGATCGATAGATAGATAGATAGATAGACAGATATTGATGGGTTTCCCCCCTTTCCAGTTAGCCCCCACTAATCCGTCCGCTCCTCCCACCGAACCAGTTTCAGGCAACTGAATCGCGCTGATGCGACATTTGGTCAAGGTGCAAAGGCAGTACCAGTCATTATGGAAGTGGTGGAGGCACTGCCTGAGTGGGTTGGAGATATTTGGAGACTGTAATTGGGGTTGTCCAAGAAACCAGACATGGGCATCTGGTTCTGTGTCATGCATCTGTTGGATACCTTGATCCAGCAGCACGCATGGGTTTGAATGGGTTTGAATCAAACTTGGAGAGCTCCAATCCGCAGATTGAACCATCCGATATTTGGGGGTAATAGTGCTGGCACGCAATCCTGCAAGGGAGTTGAGTTGAGGTTGATAGAGAGTTTTTTTTCCCGCAAACATGTTGGGGATTCACTGAGCACAGGCAGGGTTTGTCCAGTAAATTGTTCCGAATGGAACGAGGTTGGCAGATGAGTGCTGAGGTTAGGTGGCGGAGGCTCATGCCAACAAGCAGACAGGTCTGTCAAAATCAGCAACAACCACCCAGCTGCAGAAATCTAGGAGAAATCAGCTGAATTTGCAGATCCTTGCAGGCATGGTGCTCCTGTCTTTTGCCTATCTCTGCATTGGAATGGGAGCCTTGGATGGTTTTGGGTGGCCTTAGGCTGGATTATCATATTGGCCGCTTGCAGAAAGGCTTTGGCCAGAGACCTTTGCTGCAGTAGAACTGTTCGTTTCCTGGACATGTGTGACCTTGTGCTGATTCTGCACCCGCATTTCGGCTTGCAGGATGGCATGACATACAAATGGGAAAAAGACATCATCGGACATAGTAGGAGACAAATGGGCATGATCAACAAACCACAACTGCCCATGAAACACATATAGCCCAAGATTTCTGACCCTAAACAGAACTGCCCCAAGAGCACCTGGTAGTGCCGGGTTGCTCTGATGGACGCTGGCAGCCCAGCGGAGAGCCCCAAAGATGTGGAGCCGGAGCCCAGCCTCTCCGAGCCGGCCGTTTCTCCCAGCAGCGCCGCGGCTTGCCCGGCTGGCCCGGCTGGCCCTGTCCCGCTGGGAGCTGCCCTGGCTGCGGCCCCGGCCACGGTGACCATGGCGTATCCCAAGGCGCCGGCCTTCACGCCGGTGCGGACGGCATCGCATGGCCCGGTGAGGATGAGCAGAAGTATGGTGATCCCGGCAGAGCAATTCGCTGCGCCTAAGGCATGGGTTTTCCACGGAAGTGGAGGAAGCTTGCCATGTGCTCAAAGCAACTCAGCGGCAAATTTGTGGATTTTTTGGGAATCTTGTGGAATCTTGTAGACGCTTGATGTTTGTAGGTGCTTTCTATTTCAATTTCTATTAATCAAAAAACCCTCATTACTTGGCTTAGCGTACTGTCATGCAAGGAAAGCCAAACATCAAGTGACATGGCCTGATATCATAGATACATGAAGTGCAGGCCACGTGGATCCTGGATGCCGTTCAGATTTTTTGTGTCCCTACCACTGCCAGGCTTCCAACCTTTGCAGAGAGTGGTCAGCACGACTTCTTACACGTCTCATCCTGCCTGGCCTGGCACGCCACGTTTCATCGCCCACCCAGGGGCCGTTCCTGTTGCACCCTGCCCTGGTGTGGTCCATGTAGTGCGAGAGCTGTCACCTGGTCGACCACCAGCTGTTGGCACTGTAGCACCTCAACGGGCTGTGTCGCCGCCAGCTGTGCCTTCCCGGTCTTCCATGTCTGGGCCGGTCTCTCCACCCATAGTGGCACCACCCAGATCTTTATCCCCACGAGGTACTGCCACTGGCGTTCCAAGTGCCCAGGCCCACACTCCACTGATGCCAGGGCAACAGCTGGTGTCACCACGAGCCGGAACACCTTGCCGATTGCAACCAATGTCTAGTCACCTTCCTTCTCCACGGGAGCGGGCATTGTCGCCAGTGGGCTTGCCACCAGTTCCAGTCTTTGCCAAAATTCCTCAAGCCGCTTTGGCCGAAATGGGCCAGTTGCAACGTTGCCCTTCTCCCCGGCCAGTCGTTATCAAGACCGTCACCCCACGCGTGATGCCGGGTGCCATGCGCAGCACCGTGCCGGTGATGACCCCAAGGCCCTTGCCAATGGAGGTGAACCCCAAGGCGGCCACGCCACAACGACAACCGGCACCCAAGCCCTGTGTGATTCGCACCACCTCTCGTCCTTCGCCCAAAGCGCCTGGTGTGAAACGCCAAGCATCGCGGGGGAAGGCCACCCCATCAATAGCTCCACCTGGAAGGGGTGGGAAAGTTTCTGAGGACCAAACCTCTGCAGGGCAGCTACCCGACGGATTTTTCAGCAAAAGTTTGGGTGGAAGCATCGGGACACTGCCTTTTCTTTTTTCAAATTTGTCTTATAAAACTGCCATAGCCCCAACACAGGAAAGTCAAAAAGTGCTTGTTCAAACGCTCCAAGCCTGGTGAACCTCATTCCATATAATATATATATATATTTGATATGTGTTTGCCTTTGCCTGAGAATGGTGTAATACCATGTAATACCCAAACGCATCCAAGACATCAGTTTCAATATCGCTATCTCATTCTATCCCACACCATTTTATAATATTTTGTATTTATACCATTTTATACCTATATATATATATATATCTAAATTGTAAAACTGTATCGAATGAAGGAATTTGCATCCCTTGTGCCACAACTCAGGTTGCCGCCCCGTTTGGCCTCCCGCACCTCCCAGCTTCCTCACAATGGCACAGCAGCGCCCCACATGACACCGACCACGGAGGTGGCCGTGCTGGTGGAGGATCCGTGCTTCGTGAGCTTCGCTGGGATCCTGGGTGAACCAGGAGCTGTGGAGGCCACTTGCCAACAGTTGCTGAGCCGCTTGCGGGGTGGAAGCTCTGTGAGATGGGAGGAGTTAGTGAACATGAACCCCACCATTACTTTGTTGGAACTGGGATTGGCATCCTCGCCAGCACGGAAAGCGGTGAAGATTGCGAACCAGGAAGAGGCGGGCTGAGAACTGATGTTAGTAACAGAAGGGTCTTCGTGATCAACAGCAGGCCCAGCTTAATAAGGCTTATGTGTTCTTCTGCTACTTGCATTTATGACGTATGATGTATGGATACTTATGACATCTTAGGTATATTATAATTATAAGTTACCCACTTATACACACTTACTGTCATGGTCAATCCAATTTTAGCCAGCTTTTCAATCCTCCACATAACCATCCCGTTTTTTTCCCATTTTGCAATCCTATCATCATCCTGGGCCATCCAGGTGGAGGACAAGAGTCAGGACTGCCAGGGCTGGTGGCGCGCGATGCTGGCCCGGCATGGCTTGTACGGCCCCGGCGACGTCATCGGTGCCCCGGAGCTGGCCGAGCTCATCGCTGCCACCCTGCGCTACCTGCGGGACAGGTATGCCCCTGCAGCCTTCCTGCGGAATCTGAGGACCGTGCACTGTGGCTCCAAGAGGTTGAAGGAGCCACTTGAACCTAATTACATCACACACACACACATATATATATATATATATTACAGATTACTGTATATATATATAGTATTATATAATATATATTGTATCTAAAGTCTTGACATTTCTTTTTTGATAGGCTTCATTGATGTTGGCTTTTGATTTCTGGACTCTTAAGAACGAAGACCTTGCAACCCCTTAGAACTTAGCCATTTCATCTATGTGCAATCATATATAAGTATTTTATAGTATTTTACCTCGTACAGTAGACACGCGCACACACACACACACACACCGATGCACATACATAACATATCAATATATATATATATATATATATATATCATATAATATATCACATTATATCATACATACAAATAATATTATAAAGATAGCCGCTTGTATCCTCCCTACACTTTTTTGACGATCAATCCATGCCGACCGGACATCACCCAAGGCTTTATGGCAGCTTTGAGTTCCACTCCCGTGGCATGCAGGGGAAAAGCTACAGGTGCAGAAGCCGGCTCACCCGAGAGGAGCACATTTGCAGGCCTGGAAGAATGCTATATTTCTCCATATTTTACATGTTTTGACCATATAAAATCATGATTTTACCAGATTTGACAAGATTTTACTGCAAGAAATCGGGATGTCATGGGATTTCACTGCAAAAATGGGGGTTGAGCATCAAACATGGGGATTTACTAATCAGAAATGGGGGATTTCAGAAGCAAAAGAAGGGTATTCAATCCATCCAATTTCACTGGCTGGTGGTTTCCACTCCCGTTATTTTTCATCCATGACGATCCCGACTTTGTACACGGTGCCTCTCAGATTTGGCAAAGACGATTCCGTAAAAACTTTTGGGACGTTCGTGCAGAAATTACCAGACTTTGACAAACTTGGAGGTCGCCTTGCAGGTCAGATGTATAATGATGTATATAGATGTATCAACAGAATCTGCCTGCAGGCAAGTGTGCAAGGACAAAGTTCCTGCTCCCTCAGATCTGGTGAGAGCAGAGGTGGAGATGCTCCGTGGTCTTGAGCATCCTGCCATCCCACAGGCCGGGAAGTTCCCATCACCTATTAGTTGGGCATGTTTTATTAAAATGGATAGCCCAACATCCCAGCTTCATCAGCTTCATCAGCTTCCAACTGTTCAACTGGTGTTTTCCCTACGTTTTCCCATGTTTTCCCATCTTTTCCCATGGTTTTCCCTGGAGGTCATAGCCAGCTTCGAGGATTTCAATAACATTTACATCGTCCTTGAGCCGGTGGAATCGGTAGAGTTGGTGAACGTCCTGCAGCAATGGCACTGGAGCAACCAAGGGCTGAGCGTGGGATGGCTGGCGGAGATTGCACGGCAGCTACTGGAGGCGTTTCGACATTGTCATGAGATGAGATCCTTGGTTCATAGAATTGGATGACGGGAAAATTTACAGGAAACCCCGCATATTTGATGGTAAAAACCATGGTTTCCTGTAGATTTTCCCTTAAACCAATCCATTGATTGGTGCTGAAAAGGGAGATTCATCAGAGATATCAGATGGAGTCGGGGTAAAGACTGGGGCAAGGAATAGTGGCAACCAGGATCCCTAGGTTTTTCTTTGGCAAGGCGTCTCAGTCTTGCTAAATTACAACAACATATACATATGATATCACATGATAATATATGATAATTTTGTTTATGTATTTATGATATTTATGTATGTTTCTATACATCATCATTATCTCAGTTACCAGACTGAGCTGCCAGGACCGCACAGCCTAGTCCATGGAGATCTGCGACTCACCAGTTTGCTGTTGTCCGCACAGACGGACGCCAAGATGGCCCCGCAGTTGGTGCTGGCTGACCTGGGCTTGGCTGGTCTGCCAGCGGCGCCGCCAGCCTTGCAGAAAGCTGAGATGAAAATGACTCCAGATTGGAGTCTGGGTGGCGCTTTTCTATTTTTTGACTTGTTGTCATATTTCTTTTTGATTTTTGTTGGCTTTCAATAACGCCACAATATGATCGGATAGGATCCCCAATGGAGAAAATTCAGCAGCACACGTCTTGGGTGAATGGCCCGTCCATCAGGCGTCAATGTCCATCTCCATTGTTGGATGTTTGGTCCTGTGGCTGTCTGATTTTCATGTTGCTGTCTGGCCGGCATCCCTTCGACGGCGATCCTGGGGGTCGCTTGCTCCCATCAGCATCGACGCTTGGTGAAGATGGGAAGGTGGAATTGGAATGCCATGCACAATGCAGGTTGAATATGAAGTTACGAGCTTCTCATGGAAACGTTTTCTAGATTTCCATCATATTTCCATCAAAGGTTCTTGGCCCTTTGACTTGACATCTACCAGTTTTTCATCCTTGAATCTTCAATCCCCGCGGGCTGAAACTTGCATAGCTTTCACAAAATGCCAAGGTATTCTGCTTTGGAACCCGACTGGCGCATGTTGCCCTCCGCCTCCTCGGCTTCGCTTTGCGCGCAGATGTTGTCCTGGGACTTGAAGTCCCGGCCCTCGGCGGCGGAGTGTCTGCGCCATTCCTGGCTCTCTGCGGAGGATTCCCACGATGTGGCGGTGCCAATGGAAGCGTTGGGAAACTTGCTGCCACTTGGCTCGAACATGATCGAAACATTCGAAACATTCGAAACGTTCAAAGGTGCTATTTCTATGTGAAGGTTCAGTGGTGCATATTTTCACTTGGGGAGGTTCCTTGGAAGCTACTACAAGTAAGAGAGTGAGCTACTAAGATGCATGTTGTAGCACTGGGTGCATAGCTTTTGAATGTCATCAGAACTGGGCCGCTTCTCAGTTTTTCTTAATGCTCATTTTTTTCTGGTGAAATATGCCCAATATATCTTATTCATGAGCTTTTCTTACAGGCAGGACATACCGGACGGGGTGTTATCTAACCATAGTTGTGGATATATCTCAACTGGGGGTTAGACTTCCCATGGTTCTCCGCATTAAAAATCGCCTGAAGTGCACCCCCAGCCGCCCCAGCCACGGCCCCAAGCCGTCAACCGGCCAGGAAGTCGCACCACAGGTCCAAGTTGCAGGAGATCACTGCAGGGCTGGCAATTTCGGAGCAGATCACCAGTCCTTTCTCCGCCATCGGCGCAGCCCTGGCTCTGGAACACGCCTTTGGTTCCTGCCACTTGGATCGGGTTGGAGCTGAGGGCAACCATGGTTGCGAATGCTGTAGATTCACTGTAGATAATGACATGATAATGATAGATGTTACTGAAATGTCACAGAAAACCCCGCGGGGACCCAGTGGAGATATGTTGGTGTCTGATTCATTCTGATTCTTGCCCATCTCTAGGCCCAAAGAGGATGACAGTGCCAGTCAAAGATGCCGAAGCTGCACTGAAAAGCTTGGGCATGTCCGAGAAGGGAATGGAGAAGGATCCTGGCAGCATTGGAAACGGGAGGACCCAACAGATATATCAGCGATTGGGTGGTTTTCAGGATCAGAGGTCCATTGTGGAATGAGCTTGATTTGTGGCGATTTATGCATTTTTCTGTGCTGCTCGCACACTCCAATTTTGCGTGTTTTCGTTTTGATCTCAACACTTTGTTGACACACATGTAGATGTCATACCTTGTTTTCACCATTTTCCTATATTTTCCAATGTGTTTTTTTTTTTCATGTTGAGGTCTTGAAGGCCTTTTCTGATGACGACAGCCATTCCTTTAGCTATGGCCTGCTGGAGCTGCACTGCTCGGAGTTGGCGGAGGATTTGTTGGACCACGCCCTGTGGCGCGTCTTCAGCGCCGCCGGGGAGGACCACCGCGGCGTGCTGGGCGCGGCGGAGTTGGAGAAGGCGCTGCAGGCGGAGAGCGGCAGCAGTGGAGCGGATAAGGCCGGAGGAGAGGCACCGGGACCCTTTGGAGCCTTGGACGTCCCATGGATTTTATGGCTATTTGGAATGGGATTCCATGGCTATGGATCGTTGAATTATGTTGTTTGGGGCTGAGGTCGTGGTATTTTTGGTGCTGATGTTGGATGATGTTTGCAATGTATTGAATGTCGTACTTGATTTTTTTGATGAAGTGTTGTTTTAGGTCTTAGGTTGTTTTGTTCGTTTCGTTGGTTGGTGCTGTTCCATGTGAAGCTGGGCTTCGGAAATGGTGTGAAGGCAGGCTCTCGTTTACTCACAGGGGGACTCGTGACTGCAAGGTTGAGTCTTCATAGGTTTGTTTTATGGCATTTTATGGATTGTATGGTTGTATTTCCAACTGTGGTCGAATTCATTCGAATTCCATATATTCCATGGCAGATGCGATGATCGCTGCGACACCCAGGAAATGAGATGAAAGCCAGTGAAATCGTGAGGCACGTTGCGACCTTTTCATCCCAGTGTTGGAGACCACGGAGAAATATCGCGAAATTCACATGAAAATCATGAAACAGAGCTGACCTTACCATGACTCGGTTTGTATGAACTTAAAATAGTGGATTTGATTGATGTCGTATAACTTTGTTGCTGACCAGAGATTGCAATGACAGGTCCCTCTGATCTCCATAGCATCATGACTCTTACCTGCTTCCCGGGTAGATGCGAGAGGGTTGTAGTGGCCGTATTCCGGGACCACCTAGGAGGATCATGGAGGATCTGCATGCTGCATCAATCTGCAATAGCACCACTTTTCCCATCCTGGCAGTGTGAGCAGTGCCCTGAGGCAAATCTCCACCAATGGCCAGGAGGTGACTTTCGAGGAGTTAAAAGCTGCCATCGTCCAACGACAATCGCGGCCCCCAAGCGTCAAGGCTGACAGTTGACGAGTGACCGCAGAATGCCACAGGCCTTGCTATGCCTGTTCCGTGAAAGACGGAAGGTCTGAGCTGATTCATGTTCTATCATCCCGTTTCCGCCGTTTCCCACATGGTTTGCATGAAATTCCGATTTAATTAACGACACCTTGACGGGTGGTTCCAGATCCCTTCATTCTGCGCAGAAACAGAGCCGACGTGTGGCTGGTTGCTGTGCTGTGGAGACAGTATATAGGCATTTGTTCTGTTTGGCATTGGCATTTCATGAGTCTTCCGAAAGATGCCCATCGCCAGTTTCCCCAACTGGCCATTTAAATCTGTCCAAAAAGATTGCACCTCGAGGTGGCTCTCTTGGGCCTAGCAACATTTTTTTTGCAATCACAGATCTGCGTCCCAGCACTGGGGAGCCACACCCACCGCCATCTGACTACACGATTTCCCTGGAAGCCTGGAAAACAAACAACAAATCACCCATGGAGGATGTTCTAAGATGTTCGATGTTCTAAGTGCGTCCCTTGTTGGTCTTTGCCGGTCCAACTTTCAGTTAGCTGAGGAATTATTCTTCACCTCCATCCAGCGCATTCTGCTGGTCCTGGAGAAATCTATTGGGACAGAGGATGTCAAGTGCCGGCTGATGCAGCGACTCTGGGGGAAGGCTCAGTTCATCTTGGTTCATATCGGCTCAGCTGGAGATGGGCCTGGAGATGGTTCGAGTGGTATTTTAATAGTGCCATTTTCAGTCATTCCCCGTGTTATGTTGGTTTCCCCACTCGCAATGCCAGGCAGAGAGAGGCAGCCCCTCGCGCTTGCAGGCGCAAGTGGAGGCAGCAGTGCTTCTTGCAGATGTTTGGATAATGCTGAAGCCCCGGCAATTCCTAGTAATTCCATCTAATTCCAATGAGTTTCCTGTGTTGTGACACGTTGCAATCATACACTTCGTTGCTGGTGCTTGGGTGGTTGGACATCATGCAAAAGTCATGACAAACCACCGGCGAGGCATTGGCCAACAGCTTTCATCCCAATGGGCGCTGCAAGATTGCTCTGGCATCTGCATCCTGGCGTCGGGTGGGTCCCCTTGTGCAGATTCCATCAGATTCCCAAGAATCCTTGATGTTAGAGGCAAGGTCCAACAAGTTGGCATGGCAATAGCTGCAGCAAGTCTTTAGACCTCCACGTTGAGCCTGCAGAAGCTCTCATCCTGAAATGAGTCAACAGGAACCAAAAGCAGCATGAAGATCATGCCAAAGAAGTCCATGGGTCCCGTGAAAGTTTTCAGCATTCGATTCGGTCCATGTTGATTCTCACAATGCCACTCTCATCTTGGGGTACCCAGGCACCAGGTCACCATGCCGTGGCTCAGGTGCTAACCACCAGCCTGCGCCTTCTACGTCCTCAGGAAGAGGTGAAAGCCGCTGCCGACTGCTGCATGAGTCCCTAATCCAAAGTTGGTCCCACCATGTCCCACCAGGTCCCAGCTGGGGAAATGGGATGACTTTGATAATCTTTGATAGAATTCAGTAGAAACCTGATGAAACCTGGAGAAACTGAACACCAAACTATACCCAACTCCATTCCTTCTGGCTTCGAGAGTGTTGTGTGTGGCACTGTGTAAGACCAGTCAGAGTGAGAACCTCACTGCGCACTTCATACTTGCCAGGAAATGAGCACGTTTTGATTGATACAGTAGGAATGTTTGTTACAAAGTCTAGGTCAAGAATCAACATTGTATGAACACAAGTCACAAGCTCATGTGTTCTTGGCTTCCGATTTGACTGTCTGAGCATGCGTCAGCCTTCCACAGCCTGTGATGAGGTTGGGTACCAGACTTCATTTTGAAGGATCCATGCCGAGAAGTTCAACTTGAAGTGTCCAACAGTTGCATCTCAAGTCTATTTGAATGTTTTGACAGCACTGCAGTAGCTTGGCGGCAAGATGCAAGACCGGATTGCATGAGAAGTGGCTTGGCAAAAAAAGGATGAAAATTAAAAGAGACATCTCAGCATATACTATAGTTACTATAGAACACTGTATATTCTGATGTTTTGTGTTCCAGGATCCTGCGCTGATTGTTGGTATCCCAAGGATTCCCAAGGTGCTTCATATTCATCCACATTTTTGCAGCGCCCTGTTTCAGGTCTTTGATGAACTTCGACCAGTGTTGGACTTCTCCAGTGAGATCTTGGTAACACAAAATCTGCCCAATTCCTGCGCGCTGGTGGCGTTTCAAGTGGCCATTGCCATTTCCTGTTGCCAGGCAGCCAGTCAGCCAGTGATGACCAGTGCATTCAATGCTGTCCAAGTGTTCCAAAGATGCTTGTTTGGTGACATGATGACATGATGACATGATGGGCCAATTTTCCAGTGCTTCTAGCTCCCTACTTTCGCATCAAGTCCGGTTTTCTCCAAATCTCGAAAAGTTTACATACTCCATCATACTCTCCTACTCAGAGTTTAGCGGTTTACATCGGTTTACATTCCGTGATCTCAGTTGGATCATCGAACAGGGCTACATGCATCGAGTCTTGCCTGCCTTCTGCGCTTCACCTCCAGCGGTGTTGCGGCCGCTGGCGCGCAAGGCGCTGAAGGTCTTGGATGAGGAGCGTTTTTTTTGTGCAAATGGGGAGGTTTTGAGGGGATAGATTCCACCCAAATCGATCAACATGTGCTATTTTATGGTTCGAATATATTGAACATATATTTAAAATTATTTAAACGATATATGATATAACAATGATATAGTAATATAGTAACATGATGTAACACAATTCAATTCATTTTGTAAAATTATTGCAGCACGATAGAAGACCAGCCGAATGGCACAGTGCCGTTTTCAGCACCCAGGAGCTGGGAATCGCCAGTGTGGAAGATCTCTCACCACTGGCGTTGACCTTCCGCGCCCCTATTTTTCAAACGCTGCTGAAGGCGTTGGAGTCACCGTGCTGCCAATGGCCTAATGTTTGAGTCGCAGGTATCCAGGAAAGTCGTGAGTTCATCCCAGTTTCTTCAAGATACCACCCTGGATTCAAATCCAGTTCTTAGGTGTATATCCCCATCATGGGTATATAATGGTATATAATTATATATATATATTATATCTATCTATCTATCTATCTATCTATCCATCTCTGACCATATACGCGGGTTTCTCTAGATGGGGAATCCCCAAACCATGGGTGTCACCATCGGGGGAAACTTCCATCTGTCGTCTCCCTCTCAAGCTGTGTATAGCGCCAGGTGAAAGGTGCCAGCTTGACGCAAGTGCCCCTGGTGGACATGGGCTTGGCGGATACCACACCCACCCGGCCGGGCAAAGGAGAGAAGGGAAGGGAAAGCCGAAAGATGTTGGTGGATCCCAAGACGTTGAAGGGGAAACCTACCAAAAAAACTATGGGCCTATGGGCCCGATAGTTGACGATAATCACATTATTTCACATGGTTTTGAACACGTACCAGTATGTAAGTTTTCCGTTGAAGCAATCCAATGAATAAGGACAGGATATGATAGGATTATTTCCGCTTTTCTATCTTTTCTGGGATGTTTGAAGAAACATCTGTTGTCTGAGCATTTTCTGGCAGATAAGGGCAACGATTTGCAATGTGAAAAGTGTGAACAATGTCAACGTGCAAGAGAATTGGTGCAAGGTTCAAAGATGATCACAAATGATCATAAATCCTAAATCATCATCATACAGTCATACAGTATCATACATGTTCACAAACCGCAGCGCCATTCACTTTGATCATTTTGCCATTGATTTCAGCTCCTCCCATGTCATCCGAAGGACAGCGCTGGGGCTTCGGCCGACATCTGGCAGCGGCGGTTTGTGCCATGGTTCTGGCTGAAGACTTGGATCAAGTCTCCGATTTGGCGCCCTGTTGCTGGTCCAAAGTTGCCCCCCTTGCCGGCGAAGGATGGGACCTGGAAAGCTCAAGGATGGAGGATTTCTACCTAGACTTGGTCATTTCCGAGTGCGCTTGAATTCAATCTGATTTAATGTTAACTGTTAACTTGACGATGCGTGGATGATGGTGGGCGAAAAATTGTTGACATTAAGATTGAGCCAGAGTGTTTCGGGATGTCCAATTTTCATCCATTTTCTTCCTATGTCACTGGCCAGGGGGCCACCCTCAGCTTCTTTTCATGACATCATGACATCATGAGTCCTCAGGTTGTGGCATGGGGCCCAAATCTCCAGAATTCCTGGAACTGCTGTTGGTGCCATTGGCGGCATGTGTCATTCCACTGCGGAAGAGCCTGGAGCGATTGCATCAGCGCTTTGGAGAGCAGCAAGTGGTGAAGCTCCTGAAGAGCAAGGCAAGGTCAATCAGTGGAGATGCTGAGTGTAGGGAAGCTGTGCAGCTTAAGTGTCCTGTAGCAGCTGTAGCATTGCTGATCATTTCTGATTTATGATGTCTATGGGAATGGTCGGATTGACATATCCTGAGCAGATCTCAGATGAACACAGCAATAAACAATAAATAACAATCATCAACAGGTGCCCTTGCCAGGCCAGTAACTTCTTCGCCAGGCCAGTCATATTTTCGCCTTTGCGCTGCAGCTTCCCTTTCTGACCTTTGGAAGTCCCCATGCCGTGGATGCCGAGACCATTGCCGCCGCCTTCCGGGAGGTTGCTCCACAGGTGCAACTCCAATGAAAATGGGATGCTTATGGCCTCAGATGGCCACTTTTAATTGGGAAAATATGGGAAAATATGGGAAAATTCTTAGTGATCAGATATGATCAATGATCATATGTGATCATGAAATTTTGGGCGCCCCGGTTTCAGATAAAGCCAATATGTAGGAGCATGTAGGAGCATGCAGGAGCCGTAGCCACAAGGAAAACATAGGCCACGCCACGTCGGGGCAGGGGTCAAAAGCTGATATCTGAATGATGTATCAGAAACACCGAATGGAATACATCTACAAGCATTGTTCAAGACCGCGCTTGCAGCCAAAGAATGCCAATGAACATTGAATCATATTGAATCTGAATCTCGTTGGACGCCATCCTTCCACCATCTTCCACCAGGTGGAGTGGCTGGATACGTCGGCCTTTGTGTCGAAACACTTCCGGGAGCTGCTCTTCCTGTTGGACCCCGTGATCCGCGCGTGGTCTTCGCACCTCCCACAGACCACCCTGTCGTTGTGGCGAAGTCTCATCGCCTGGGTGGGACCTTTGAGCGGCAGCCGCCTACGCCTGGTGTTGGCCATGATGCAACACACCATGCCGCCCAAGCAGAGGGTGGAGCTGAGTGCCTTGGAAGCACTGCAGTTCTGCCAACAAAAAACTCCTGATTTCTCGTAAATGATGATGATGATGATGATGATGATGATGAATATGTGTGGGGGCATTTGTGTGGGTATTGAGATGCCCACCTCGTGCCATATTAGTCACACACACACACATATATATATATTATCTATAGTCTACAGTCCTTCAGTTTGTGACTGACTTTTGGATGATCAACACGGCGAATCTTCTCTTCCAGGTCGCATTGTTGCAGATGCCATCGCCGCGGCTGCCGCCCACAAGTCCAATGGACTCATGAAGTTAGTGAGACATCGAGATGAGACTTTGCAGCTGATGCTGTCAAGTGTGGAACATGAATGGTCAAGCTCCCCTCCCGAAGCAGTGCGAGGCACGGCATAGAGCTTTTATACAATTGTTTGTAGTGTATACATGATGGCAATAGTGGTGGATCAAGCGGACTACTGGTTTGCACGACATTGGAATCATCTCATCATATCAAAACATATCAAATCGTGTGCATCACTGTATCATCATGATCCGTGATATCTTCAAAATGTATCAAGATGCATGCTGATTTCCTCCAAGATCTTCAAGTTCTCCATGGTTGTCCCAGTTGTCCCATCATTTTTCACCATTTTTCACCATTCAAAGAATTGGATGATGGGACAATTTACAGGATTTGATGGTAAAAACCATGGTTTCCTGCAGATTTCCCCTTAAACCAATCCATTTTTCACCATATTTCCACCGCAGCCTAGGCCCCCTAGGGCCCTAGGCATGTTCCAAGCTCTGATCCTTCCAGGTGAGGCCGGCCCGGCCGAGCGCAGCCCGGCGCTCACGGCGCTGCTGGCGGTGCTGAAGGCCTTGAAGGCCGAGGAGGGCGTGCTGTGGCTCCAGTTGCAGCTGGAGGCCATCCTACCGAGGTGCCAGTGGATGGATGGATAGGTAGATAGGTTACATAATATTATATTATTATATTATATATTATATATTTATATAAAATATATAATTATAGATATGAAAGACTCGAATTCATTCATCTTAATAAGTAGATCGACTGCCCTCGCAGGTTGGTGCTGGAGGCGCAGAAACTGGTGGCCTCGGCGGCCCAGTTGGAGCTGCCTGACGGCCCGCGCTCGGCCAAGCGCTTGCGGCGCGGGGCCAGTGCCAGGCGGGGCTGGGGATGGCTGGGGATGGCTGGGGATGGCTGGCAGCTGGCACCCATCTGGAAGCTTTGGATGAAGTTGGGTGAGGCTTTTCGGGTGGTTTTTTGGATAAACTCATTTAGCCTTTTAGTATTTGTACTGGATTCACAATATTTCACAATGATTCTGATTCAAAATGATTCGAAAACTTAGCTCTGGTTTTTTAATCATCGCTAGGCTGACTCCAGAAGACGCGCTGAAGCAATTGGCGCCATTGGCTCCAGCTGCTTGGCTACAGTTTGGCGCCAAGCCGTTTTTATGTAAAGTAAACCAGGATTTTCAAGATTTGAGATATAGTTTTCTTTTTTGAAATCCTTGCCATTTGTTCCACTCCCTCGTCCAAAAAGTCGTTCGTTTGATTTGCAGTTTTCCTAGCAGGACTTGTGCTGGGGTCCTCCATCCTCCCCGGATGTGGGCTGCATCGTGCGGTGCCTTCCAGAGAATAGCAACGATGCTGCTGAGGAGGCCGGGAGGTGGTGGTCAGCCTGCAACACTTGCCAACATGGGCCACAAAAACTCGACAAAATATAGGAAAATATAGGAACGTATAGGAACAATGGATGGAAAACATGAGATTCCAGGAAGACAAGGGGGAAATTGCAAGGAGACGTTGACAAAGATTGACTATTGGAGCTCCCTTCACACAAATATTTTTACGACCTATAGAGGGTTGTGATGTGGAATCTGAATATGACCGATGTCACCGGCAACAACATCTTTATCTGACGGGGGATGGCGGTCACTGGGCATGACCGAGCTGGAATTTGGTCACTGGATCTATCTTCAAACTGTGACCCTCCGGCAGGTCATGTACGCCAGCTTACGGCTTTTGGCACAGGGCTCACCCACACAGTTGCGCAACGATCCGCACCTGGCAAGGGCGGCTTGGACTAATGAGTTTTTCTGGCTTCTCGCAAGATTTAGATGAGAAAAGTGGGAAAAAATGGATAAATGGGGGTTTCAGGGCGTATATGTTTGTATGTTGCTTGTTATGATTTTGTGTTGGGGTTCAATGTTTCATCTTCGCCTTTGATGTTTTTCAGGTGGTTTTTTTTTGGGTCATTTTGTTGCTAACCAAATACTTTTCTTCAAAACAAGGATGATGCCACCAATCTATCTATCCAACACCAACCGAACAAACGTCCGACAAATGAAAAGGGAAATAGATGTCTTGCTGGACACATACAAACTCAAACAAGAATTCAAACACGATAAACTGTTCTTAATGGCGATTAAGTCTTTTGTAAAAAAGAGTGGAAAACTATGGAAAACTACCCATCACTTCCTTAAAAACTTTCACGACCTTACATATATGAAGTGTTGTAAGGAAATGCGTGAGTGGTGGTTTCCTCAAAATTATTGGACTTATACATTTAGACATAGGGAATTCAATGTAAACGACATCTTGGAAATCTTCTTGCGTGAATATGTTGAAGAATTGTTCAACAGTTATGAACAATATTTGAACACAGAAGAAATAAAAGAGCACCTACAAAAAGTGATAAATACTTAAAGAAATAATACCCATATATAGTAAGAGAAAAATGCGTAGAGCAAAAATTGAGGTTATAGATACAAAATGATACAAATAACATTGGTATATATATGCTGACTTTGGTAGTGATAGTGAGGACGGTGACTGGGAAAGAAAACAAATAGAAAAAAGAACATGAAGAGATTAGAGACTTTGTAAAGTGTCATCCTATGCCTTCACCAGATGATGAGGAAGGAGACAAATTTTGGAAGAACGTAATTGATAGGATGAAAGAAGCAGAATGAGTTAATGGTATGATAGTATACTCGTTTGTAAGATTTGACATTATGAAAAATATGTATGAAAACCTCACTGATAAAAAAGTCATCGTTGATTGTGGAAAGGAACTCAACCGTGATGGAGAATTCAACACTATGATTATCAACCTAACTCTTTTGTCAATAGCAATGGATGAAATTAATGATACAAACAAACCGTGCTTAACACAAATAAGAGTAATTGAACACTGTTGGGATGGAATAGGAAACTGGGCAGCATAAAATGATTAATTCATAATATCTTAATAAAATATTTTATGAAGTAACCACCCGCCCAAACACAAACATAAAACCCAACAACCTAAACAGTTACCCCATTCATCTTAAACCACACCATCAAGTGAAAGTTACTGGCACAAATTTCCCCAAACCCCCACCACATAAAACATCGAAGGTAAAGATGAAACATTGAACAACAACATAAAAACCATAACAACCAACACTGAACGCTGGAATGTCCCAGCATCCCTGTTTTACATTTTTTATGGGAGTTTTATACATATTTAAATGGACATTTTAGGACTTCCCTGAATCTTCAGATGATTTCAGAAATCTGTGGGGCCAAACTAAATCCAGTTTGGGTATTTCAAATGCGCATGCTTAGGCCTTGGCTATGGGCCTTGCTTCCCTGAAGCCTGTGGCTATGAAGGCCTAGCATTTCGTGACGTAGTTGCTGCACTGACTGCAGATGAAGCATGATGAATCAATTGGCACGCATGATACAATGCCTTTTGGAGAGCTTGGGACCTGCTCTAAGACTTGGAGGATGCCCGGCACTTGATGTACTCTTGTTACTTGAAGTAGCCATCGGCCTCCCCAACATTGAGAAGTATTGAACTGCATGATTTTCTCCATCATTTCCATCGCCCAGCATCCCAAAGTACTTGTGCTCTCAAATAAAGCACATACCAAGCAAGGCTATACCAAGGCTAAGTTGACAGTTGAAGACCTGCAAAACGAAATCACCCCGAATGTGAGGAAGTGTCCTGTTCGCAGGCCTTGAGTGAGACCTCTTCAGATAAGTTGGAGGGGGCGCTCAGTGACACCAAGTATCAGGCGCGCAGTTGGATGACCCAGTTCTGGCCATTATGGTCCAGCGAGATCCACAACATTCTGCAACAAGATTTCATAAATTTTCATAAGATATCTATATAGCGCATGTCATCCCATCCGGATCCCATAGATAACCAGATCCCAGAATCAAAACAATCAGCAATAGTAAGTTATCAGATTACTCAGACTGTCCTTCTTAATGAACATTAAGTCATAGTTTAATTCTCGGAGAATTATAACCGGAGATTTTATTTGACCACTAACCATTCACCAGTAAATAAATCATCAATTTTCTTGGAACAGTTCCATTAACCATCATTAACCATCATCAACAATCATTAACCATCATTAACAAACATTGACCATCATTAACCATCATCAACCATCATTAACCACCATTTAACCACCATTTAACCACCATTTAACCACCAGTTAACCACCAGTTAACCACCATTTAACCACCAGTCAATTCACCAGTTCCATGATCACAGGTGGACGATCTCCTCTACAGCGTCGCCTTGCTGGGTGCCAGTCACCTCCAAGCGCACCAAAGCAGCGCGGTGCGGCAGCTGGCGGGTCGAGCCTTGCGGCACCTCATGGCAACCCAGTGCCTGGGCGGCTAAGCCTTGGTTGGTTGGTGGTTGGTTGGTGGTTGGTTGGTGGTTGGTTGGTGGTTGGTTGGTGGTTGGTTGGTGGTTGGTTGGTGGTTGGATCTGGATATGTCATATGTCTGGAGATATCTGGATAAATGCTGGGGACGGTGGGTTTTGATTGATATGGGGGCTGGAAGTTTTTTTTTTTTTTCGGCCTTGAGATTTGGGACACATCGAGGTGTAGTTCTACTTTCGCAGTTCTACCAAAACCTCAAAAAACATCCGAGGAAGGGCTGGTGCCACTCGGCCCGCAACACCCTGAAGAACTTGTTGAACAAGTGCCATTTGGCCTGCGAAGACTTGGAAGAGCTGAGTCATTTGGTGGCGACCACATGGTCCAACAGCATCCAGGCTGGATCCAACGTGGGAAGGACCATCTCTTGGCAATTTACAAGGCAAGAGGCGGATATCTCCAGCTGGATGAGTGGAGTGCTGTCACACTTGCTGAAGTTGGGTGACTTGTCTCAGCATAGATGAGTTATAAGTTGTTATAAGTTGTTATAGGTTGTTTTAGGATATCTTATAGCAGTTGGTTTCAGACGTAGCGATAGAAACTTTCAGCACTATCTTGACCCAGAATAGTGGATGCATCCGACACGTGAGCCATCTCCTTTTACCATGATGGGTATCGTTGTCGATGGCTCACATGGGGAAGCTGTGGGATCCAAGATCCAAGCTGAAAGAGAGAGAGAGAGAGAGAGAGAGAGAGTGAAGCACCGTTGGATGGCGTCGAGTTTCATGGTTGTGACTGTTCCTTAGTGCCAAGCTGGTCAGATATTAGCATGCCTCCATGGAGCACTTCAATCTCAGCAGTCTTTTAGCCTTCAGGTAGCCTTCAGGTAGTCACTTCAGGAGTTATAAACATTGGTCAGACACCATGGAAGGGCCATGTACCCAGCACCAATCCCTGCCCACCATGTACCGGTTACACCGGTAGTAGCTGCGAGGTTCTTCCGTTTGGGACGGCTCCGGCACGGCGGTCTTAACGGCCTGCGCGCCTCTGGCGAAGCACTCGCTGTGGTTCTCCCAACGGCTTTTGGTGCTGCTGCTGGTGAAAGCTGCTAACATGCCCAAGAGTGGGTCCTCCTTAGCCAAGGCGTGATGCATCGGGATGCCAATGGAATCGGGATGGGCTCATGGCTAGGATGGCCCGGCCAGGACCTCACGGGCTTCTTCAAGCAGGTTGCGAGCACGTCTCGCCAGCAGCCGCAGGCAAGATGCCTGTTGCATGCCTTGCACCTCATTCGTGTGCACCAACGGGCTCAGAAAAAACGAGCCGTGGCTCAGTTGCATCAGCAGCAGAATGCCTTTTGGAATTTTGATGATACGGAAGGTCCGAGGTCCTATTTGGAGAAAAAGTATGACAAGCTTTAATTGAAATGGGCCTCTTTTGTTTTGTTGTTCTCTTGCTTTGTCTTTTTCCCTCTATGGGTTCTACTGTAGGTGGCAAATCTCTCAGCCTGAAATGGGTTTCATGAAGTTCCAAGGTTCCACACTTCCCAGACGACTCGGAGGATCCTTTCTGGTCATCTTTGGACTTGTTCGCTGCTGCAAGCTGTGCTGCAAGCATCTCGGACTCTCAAAATGCATTTCTGCTGCTGGAGCTGCACTTGCAGCGGTCCAAACCGGATTTGCCTTTGCAGGCCTGGATTGTCGACATTTGTCGACTATTTGTTTGTTGCAGAGATGCTGACCTTATGTACGAACCTCCATGCCAATCCTACTAGTTTATAGTCCTTTGTTGACACCGCATTGATTTTGATTGTTCCATATGATGCAAGGATATGCAAGGCAGAAATGTTTCATGATGTTTCCCTCTCCAGACCCAGTTTGAAGTTTTACTCTCCATACCCCGAAACCATACCAGTGACCACGGTGAACATCAATGAATCTCCGAGAATCGATGGCAGGAAGCCTTGGAAAGCGTTAGTTCCAGAGGCCTGGGGGTGGAAGCCCTCTTTCAGCCTCCAGCGCGGGACGCTGTGACACCGAGAGAGAGAGAGAGAGAGAGCGATTCTGGTTTCTCCTGAGCCCAAAAGGTGGCAGGTCTGTCCCCTGAATTTTTGGGCATGCTATTCTGATATAAGTCAATTTAAGTCCATTTAAGTCCATTAGGATCCCCTTTCTGGATCCTTTTTTTTGCTTGGCGTATCTTGGCGTGGTATTTGCATTTTGAATTGTCATGAATTGTCATCACCAAGGAAGTTGACCTGTTGCATGCTCTTGCCAGACAGCTTCCCGACGATGAACTTCTCTATGGCCAGGGTGAGTGGTGTCATGCATCCTCTCGCTTGGCGCGTGCGGAACTGGCGCAAGACAACTTCACCAGCATCCATTTGAGAGCCTGAGATTAAACTAATCTATACTAATCTAATGTAGACTTAACATTGATGCATTGTCTTGAAGCGTTTCCCTGAAGCAGTACCACACAGTGCCTCACAGTACTGATACATGGAGCATATACTTAGCAGCATCATCTTTGTAAATCTACTTCCTATATCCAATTCATTTCCCCACGGTTACCCCACGGTTCCACCAGGAATCGAGCTGTTGGAATCCGCTCTGCAACGCAACGATGTGGCCGGGCAGCTGGAGGCTAGGCATGGGATGGACGCTGCCATCAGTCGCTTGGGGTGGCATTCCCTGCTGGCCACCGGGCTTCTGCCGGAGGATGACGTCGCCTGGGAGAAACGCGCCGAGGCCTTGTGGCGATTGAGGCAGTGGGGACCCATTGAGGGTAGCTCGGATGTTTGTTTTCAGTACTTAAAAAAGGTGTCTTTATTTGATTTTATTGATTTTCCACGTTCAAGAAACATCCCAGAATCCAAGAAGAGAACAGATATCTAAGTTTCAACTGGCACATGTTTGTAATGTTTGTACTCCACATGTTTTGAATGGAACATATGGAACCACGCGAAACTCAGGTATGAAGCAGGGCTTTCACAGCAGTGTCCACTCAGCTCTGTCCGGCTTATCCAGCGCCGTGCGCACGGTGGAGTCGATGCTGGGATCCCCGGGACCACCAGGTGCGGCCAGCCACGACTTTTCACAGGCCGTGGCGACCTTGGAACGGCCCCTGTTGAGGACGGTGGCCGATGTGGTGAATGAGATCCAGGTCCAGTTGCCGGAAGAGTTGCAGCAAAAGGCCTTGCAGCTGCAGATGTTGGGATCCATTTTCCAATGCTGTGATGCCTTGGTCTCGGACGTACATCAGAAACTGGTTGGTGCTTTGGAACATGAATTTTATGACTTTCCATATTTTTCATTATTTTTCCATTCAGTTGGGAATGTCATCATCCCAACTGACTTTCATAATTTTCATATTTTTCAGAGGGGTAGGTATACCATGGTATACCACCAGCCAGGAAAACTCAGAATGGACAAACTCGGAGTGTGCTGAATTTGGCATCCTCCTGGACCTCCAACGTGCCGGTGTCGGCCAGATGTTTCAACCATGTGGAACCGCTGTGGCTGGTTTGCGCTTCGAAGATTTTCGCGTTTTACCCTCTGGTTATTTAACATAGCCATGGAAAATGGCCCATTTATAGATGGTTTATATACCTATTATAAATGGTGATTTTCCATGGCTATGTTAAATAACCAGATGGTAATTTTATTTTTGTCCTCTTCCTTATGGTTGAACAAATGCATGTTTCAACCATGGTAATGGGATTGCCATCCCAATTGAACATAATTGAACTGCATATTTTTGTGCCGGATGGCGCCAGTTGATCAAATCATTGGCTCAACTTCCCATTCTGAAACATGTCAATATCCCGGGTGACTTTTCTTTTTTGGCTCAGCAACCACCTAGTTCATTGTGAGTTGGGTGATATACCCAATTCTGTTACGGTAGTTAATTTCCCTGCTACATCCCTGCTACATCCCTACAATACTTTCATGTCAAATTGACCCATGATATTTACATGAATAGTCATGAATATCTCGTTGAATGATATCCCAAAGAACATTAAGATAATTCATATACTAATTACTTGTGTCTGACACATGTATCTCCAAGATCTCCATGTCACTTCGCCATGGCCATGGCTCAGGTTGGCCTTGCAGTCCTCCATCCTGGCCACCACGAGCCATCCATTGGCCGAGGGCCGTTTCCTCGTCGCCAGCGCCGCCGCGGCGCGCGAGGCGGACTTGGCGCAGCGGGGGCTGGCGCTGCTGGAACGGGCGCAACGGGCGTGCAATGCCAAGTTGCAGAGACAGGACAGCGGAAAACGGAAAAAACCATGGAAAAAGCCATGGAAAAATATGGACACACGCGGAACAACCAATGGACCAATGGAAAACTATAACCTCTGATAAATTTCTGGAATTGGAAGGGCTGGGAGATGGGATGCGAAACTTTCAAAGAGACAGTGATGGAGAGAGAAAAAGGATGAAAAAGGTCGATTTAAGTAGGGGAATATAATGGAATATGGATTAATTATCTATCTTTCGACCTACTATACTATACTATACTAATACTATATATACTATGCTATTGTAATTCTATACTATACTATACTACACTACGCCATACTATACTGTACTTAATCTAGTCTAATCTGGTCTAGTCTGATCAGTCTAATCTAAATCTAATCTAATCTAAATCTAACCCAAATCTAATCTAAGTCTAATCTGAATCTAACCTAAATCTAATCTAAGTCTAATCTGAATCTAACCTAAATCTAACCTAAATCTAATCTAAGTCTAATCTGAATCTAACCTAAATCTAACCTAAATCTAATCTAAGTCTAATCTGAATCTGACCTAAGTCTAACCTAAATCTAATCTAAATCTAATCTAAGTCTAATCTGAATCTAACCTAAATCTAACCTAAATCTAACCTAAATCTAATCTAAGTCTAATCTGAATCTAACCTAAATCTAACCTAAATCTAATCTAAGTCTAATCTGAATCTAACCTAAATCTAACCTAAATCCAATCTAAGTCTAATCTGAATCTAACCTAAATCTAATCTAAGTCTAATCTGAATCTGACCTAAGTCTAACCTAAATCTAACCTAAATCTAATCTAAGTCTAATCTGAATCTAACCTAAATCTAACCTAAATCCAATCTAAGTCTAATCTGAATCTAACCTAAATCTAATCTAAAATCTAATCTCTAAGTCTAACCTAAATCTAACCTAAATCTAATCTAAGTCTAATCTGAATCTAACCTAAATCTAATCTAAGTATAATCTGAATCTAAAATCTAACCTAAATCTAATCTAAGTCTAATCTGAATCTAACCTAAATCTAACCTAAATCTAATCTAAGTCTAATCTGAATCTAACCTAAATCTAACCTAAATCTAATCTAAGTCTAATCTGAATCTAACCTAAATCTAATCTAAATCTAATCTAAGTCTAATCTGAATCTAACCTAAATCTAATCTAAGTCTAATCTGAATCTAACCTAAATCTATCTAAATCTAACCTAAATCCAATCTAAGTCTAATCTGAATCTAACCTAAATCTAACCTAAATCTAATCTAAGTCTAATCTGAATCTAACCTAAATCTATGCACAGGAATGTGGGATATAGTGGGATGATGTGGAATGTACAACCAACAATCATGATGTAATGGGATATCATTGATTGGATATAACGGGATGCATAAGCAACAATATGGGATGTGTGGACTGGCATGGCAATGAGGCATACCCTCAATTTCTGGCAATCTAGTGGGGAAAATGAGGATTAACCAGGTTTTGGAGTCACAAATGGCTGGTTACTGTATACAAGTACATTTGTGTTTGTTTGCAAAGTGTGGGAAACACCAAAGTCCAATGGTTTTAAACACATTTTTCCTTCATGAATTGGCCATGAATGGTGGTCCGTAATTGGGGGTGTTGAAAAATTCGGCCGAGTCAGAGTTGCGAAACGACTGTTTAGAGTGGCTTCTTGACAAATGTAGTAAGCCCAGTAATAGAAGCCATTTGACCCCATGCCATTGTATTTTGAATTTGGGTGTGATTTATCCTTGGTTTTGCCACATGGCACATCGCCACAGTTTACATAAAGTTTGCACATGTTTGCAATAGACTTGGTGGTGAGTGGTGGGACCTGCAAGCCTCTACGTAACTTGATTTGTTTCATGATGTTTCATGTTTGTTCCACCGGTTTCCGCAAGAATTTCGCTGTGAGATGCTGTGAGGAAAACCTCATGTTGCGATGGGAGCAAGCTCGATGTCTCTATGCCTTGAAGTCGCCTGAAGGGATGAGCATCGCCAAGGCCCTGGCCGCTGAGTGTCGCCAAGGTATCCAAGGCCCTCGCGCAGGATCTTCCAACTGGGCAGCGCAGGTCTTGAGCTGCACGGGTCTCTGGTTGTCAGAGTCGCGCCTTGAAAATGCAGATGTGATTAAGAAGGACTGCCAAGCTGACTGAAGCAGTGCACAGATGATCACAGATGAGCACAGATGAGCACAGATGAGCACTCAGACCCAATAGAACTTTGAACAGTTCAAAAGACTGTTTAGTCAGTTTTGATTGTGAAGACTGTTTAGTCAGTTTTGATTGTCAAGACTGTTTAGTCAGTTTTGATTGTGAAGACTGTTAGATTGCACAGCTGTGACCGGTGCAAAACCGTTCCTTTCCCCAAAGCCCCAGAGAAAAACAAAACAACTCCGAAGTTTTCATCTTCACCTTGAAATTTTCAGGACTATTTTGAGGCCTCAGCTCTCTTGGACCCAGACCCTGGAAGTCGCAATGGTCGCCAGTTTGCAGAGTTTTTGGATAACAAACTGACGGAGGAGCTGGCATTCCAGGGCTCGGCAGGGCACCAGCGGACCCTGCGCAGCCGCCAGCTGACGGAACAGAAGATCCAGCGGATCGACGAAGACGTGGCGAAGGCGCAAAAGAAAGGCACCACAGCGGCGGTGCAGAAGGAAGTGAAGGCATGGGGGCTGGATATGACTGGATATGACTGGATGATGGAAGGGCAACCATGGAGAAAGCAGGAGGGTTTTTTGAAGCGAGGTAAAGAGAGTTCTAGAGGATGGTTGAGGATTCGTGGTTAGTGTGGAGCTCGGATGGGGAGAGATAAAAATGGAAACGGGGAGATGTAGGATCAGATCTTGCAGAAAGGATTTTGAATTGTATGTTTCTTGCTTGTGCTTGCCTGTCCAGGATCTACAAGAGCAAAAAGGGAAGTTGGAAAAACATCGCAAAGACGATATAAAGGACGCACAACAGGAGAAGGAGCGACTGAAAACTTTGACCCTGGGATGCGTGAAGCAGCTTGGGCAATGCCTGGCAGCTCAAGATGGTAATCCTGGTAATCAGGGTGGCGGCTTAACACAGGTTGCTTGTCGCTTCTTGTCCCTCTGGTTCGACCACAACCTGGAGTATGATGAACCTTGGGTTGGCAGTGAGAGGAACTTTGAACTACTTGTTACTTATTGACTCTTGTTGATTTGTTCTTACAGCCGTCCTTTGCCTTGACAATCTCATCGTTCGCCAGACTTGCACTTTTCAATGTTCTTTCATTTATTGTGTCGGCTTGCTCACCTGCATCTTTCAATATTCATGGCCATGTTGAGTTGCATATCATGAACGGTAGCACCAAGCTACCTGAGTTCTCCGCTTGCTGTGCAAGCTACTTTTCCTTTTGTATGGGGTCGGTGGGGATCTGCCTGATTTGGAGCGTTTAAGTATTGGTTTCAGTCCTTGGTTTCAGTGTTTGGGGCCCCCGTGCCATTGACGCTTGGCGTCGATTTTGCGGCGCCACTTCTTGTGCATGTAAGCAGGGTAGATGGGTTAAGGATGGTTAAGGTATCTCGATAGATGTAGCTATAAAACTGCAACTTCCTTTATATTCGGCCTCATCGGCTCCATCGACCTCATCGGCGTCGTGAGCTGCATTAGCCTCATCGGCCTCATCGGCTCCATCGGCCTCATCGGCGTCGTGAGCTGCATTAGCCTCATCGGCCTCATCGGCCTCATCGGCCTCATCGGCCTCATCGGCTCCATCGGCTTCATAGGCGTCGTGAGCTGCATTAGCCTCATCGGCCTTGTCGGCCTTATTGTTTTGCTTTTGGAAAAGCCCAGCGCGCCCCGAAGGACGCGGAATTTGTTGAGTCCATTTTGCGCCTGTGTTTTGCTGTGCTTTCTCTTGGTCAGCATTCTTGGCTTGCGATATAGCCTCCAAGTGTCGAGCATACGGGTGGCCCCCCCCCTCTTCGACTCCTCCCTGGTTCAAAGCTTCCCCTCTATCGCCCATCTCTTCTCTTATAGTGCGCGCGGCCCTGGTCGCCATCTTCTCACACCTGTTCGCTATGTCCTCCCCACCATTTTTGCCATCATTCTTTTCAAACAGAGAAATATGAAACAAGTTACCCCTGCTGAGTTACTTATAAGTTCACAAAAAGTGCCTTTGTATCTTATATCAAAGGCACACAAGCTCCCAGCTCCCATAAGTCGATTGCAATTGCTTTAAATATCACCAGGAATTGAAATAGCTTAAAACCTACTTGTCACCTAGCATGTGCACCCTTGCTGCGCATAGCCATGCACAAAGTCTTCCTCTCACCATATCCGATGCCCCGAATAACGGCTCGGCCAACCTCCTCTGAGAACACTTTGTTGAGCTCTTGTCTCGCATCTAGACCATTTACAACTGCAAGCTACCGACGTGTACCGACGCCTGACACACATACATGCATACAACATCATACAAACACACATGCGCTCCTACCGACTTTCCTAAAAACCTACCTACCTAGCTACCTACCTGCCTACCTGCCTCCCTAGATAGATACATGCACCCATACATGCTTACATACATGCATACGTATACTTACAAACATACATGCCTTGATACATACATATGAAGTACATACCTACATGCCTGCATATATCTGTGCATACATACATACATGCATACATACATACACTACTTACATGAATACATTAAACATATACATACATTATACATTAATTACA